AGGGGTAGAGGAGAAAAGGAAGAGGCATTTGGTGGCATTTGGCCTGAGCAATGAGCCGCGTTTGGACTCGGAGAGAAGTTTCCCTCAGGAGAAGAGAGTAGAGAGACCGACACAGAGCTGCGGGAGGATTGGAACACATTGAAAGTGGATGCAAGTTATCTGGGAGTTGAAAGACTTTGAAGTGAATGAGAGGAGGCCCAGTGCAGAGGCAGTTATGCAGGGGTCAGCTTGGGGTACGTGTGAGTAGTAACTTTGTGACGGGGAAAGTTGGAGGCTTTGTGAATAGAGCACTGGGAAAAAGGTAGTTTGATGTAAAGTAGAAACAGGAGAGATGGGGTTTCCAAAACGAACTGTAGACGTAGAACATTTGTTGATAAAGTGTGAGCCATGAGGGTTAGCTGTTAGCCTTGACACCTGGTGGTGTAATAAACCTCTCCTAGAGTTGAATGTTTTTAAAAAGTCTCTTTCTTAGATTTTTGTTTAGTCTCACCTACATTAGTTGAATGCATTTATTTTAAGTCAGTTGGGATAAGAGTCTGCTAAATTACTAAAATGTAATGTGATGTAAGTGATCATTCCAATGACCAGAGTCATCTAAAATGGGATAGTAGCAAGTTACCGTAAAGCAACATCGTATCTATACTATAGATGACTATTAGCGTGAGAGAGCTCTTTCTGCTCACTGAAACAAAGACAGTGACAGGCAGAGAAAAGTGTGTTGTGTGTGCGCTTGCATGGGAGAAGAGGCCTCTTTTCTCACTGGTCTCAATTTGTTAGCCCTCAAAGGGAGAGAATGGCATTAAGTATACGTGTAAGACTCACCTCATTATCCATAGAAGCAGTATCATGATGATGGCCTCGCAATGTGGGATTTAGCATACAAACCGGGGCTGAGATAAACGGGTCCATTTTCTTGGATAGGTAGGTTGTCTGTTGGACCAAAATAGCAATGTCACACTTTTCCTCCGTGGTCTACTTTCAATGTTGGACACTCTGAATCAAGAGGGAAGGGGGGGAGAGGGAGAGGGAGAGAGAGAGTGTGGATTAGATTGGGAGGGAGATGTAGAGTGGAGGATGGGATTTCCAGACTGTTTGTTCCCAACTGCTCATGCACACGCTCTCTTTATTTTTCTCACTTTCTATTATTTTCTATTGTACTCTCTCACTCTCTCATATATCCCAAGTCAGAGGTGCTGCTCCTGGTGCCTCTGGCTCCAAACCAGCCAGTAAAACAGAGCAGCCCTTTTTACTGGTCCTGACACCCCCTCGTGTGCACTGTAGTTTTGGACCCAGATCCCTCTGGCTGTGTTGGTGTTTGTGTGTGTGTACAACTGACTCTCAAAGAGAGATTTACTGAAACCTCTTGGTTTGTATCAAAGCATGTTTGTGTGATGATGCATACAAGCCAAGCAGGGTCTGCTAGGCCTATATGTTTGTGTCCATGCGTTTCTGTGTGTAACACCCATAAATGAGATGCTTTCATGTTTGGTCTTCTCTGTGCCTGTCCCTGCGCACAGTGTAGGCCATGCATGTTTATTTCATGGCATTTTTGGCATTCAAAGAGACGACTTACGAAAGTATCGAATAAGCTAAATGCTGCTGTTCTGGGGCGTGGCCTGCACCTATCAGTCCAGCATTCTATAACCCGCTGCATCTGGAGAAGATAAAGATATTTTTCACTTTTTACCAAATCTGCCAATGGCATGTTCATTTGATTACTTAGTATGCTGTCTAAAAATACCTAAGGGGTAAGCTGCCATTTACTTTATTGCCCATTACTGAGCGCCCCTATAGCCATGTCATGTGACTGTGAGCGTTGCCATGCAGTGGTTATTAAATCATGGTGGACTGGAGCTCTTCTACCTACCAGTGATACTGAACTGAACCAAGGGAAACAAGTTGTTATAGTGATCTGTCTATCTGGTCTCCTTCAGAGGCTTTGAGATGCTAAGGGTGTGTTTGTAAATTCAATCTGGAGTGTCAGAGTGCGCTCTGGGCCATTCGTAAATTCAGAGCGCTGTCAGATTGTCCGTTCGTAAATTCAGAGCGCTTAGCTCTTGGAGTGTTCAGAGCGCCACACTGGACCTCTGGCCGAGAAGTAGGGTTTCTTCCTTGCCTAATAAATCAGACTTTGATACCAATTCTTGGTATACAGTCTGAAACAAAGCACTGCAAAATCATGGACATTTTCCTTACAAGCCAGAATGTTTAATGAAATTATACTAAACAAAAATATAAACGCAACATGCAACAATTTCAAAGATGTTACTGAGTTACAGTTCATATAAGGAAATCAGTCAATTGAAATAAATTCATTAGGCCCTAATCTATGGATTTCACATGACTGGGAATACAGATATGCATCTGTTGGATGCCTTTAAAAAAAGGTAGGGGCGTGGATCAGAAAACCAGTCAGTATCTGGTGTTACCACCATTTGTCTCATGCAGCGCGACCCATCTCCTTCGCATAGAGTTGATCAGGCTGTTGATTGTGGCCTGTGGAATGTCCCACCTCTTCAATGGCTGTGCGAAGTTGCTGGATATTGGTGGGAAATGGAACACGCTGTCGTACACATCGATCCAGAGCATCCCAAACATGCTCAATGGGTGACATGTCTGGTGAGTATGCAGGCCATGGAAGAACTGGGACATTTTCAGCTTCCAGGAATTGTGTACAGATCCTTGCGACATGGGGTCGTGCATTATCATGCTGAAACATGACGTGATGGCGGCGGATGAATTGCTCAACAATGGGCCTTAGGATATCGTCATGGCATCTCTGTGCAATTTGTTGACCATACTTTTTAGAGTGCCGGTACTGAAGTAAAAATGTCTATCACCTGGCACATGTGCGAAACCATTTAAACACCTATTAGTATGCATGCATCGCGTGCATGTACTTCTGTCTTGTGCATGTGCCATCATGAGCAAACACATCTTGATTACCACACATATAGACCAATGTTTTGAAGCTAGTTTAAAAGTACTTTCCTGTGGATATTTTGTCTCAAATTTTGACCAGGTGAAGGACCAACACCACGGACAATCGGCAGAGTAAGTTCAAATATAATTGTAATCAACATTTGTGACAGACAATTGAAGGCATCGCCACGTTTCGTGACTAGGTTGATCCGAGCATTCTGACCTCACAACGGCAGTCAAGCACCCAAGCTAACTGGCTAATGTGGCCTGTCATAACAACTGTGTGCTAGGTCGTTTGAAAATGCATTAATTATTCTGCGCTCTGGCACTCTCAAACCAGAGTGCTCTGATATCGGAGTAGATTGCCAGAGTGAATTTACAAATGCACCCTAAGGAGTCCGCCCTCTGAACCACTCTGAACCCCCGCCCCTCCCCCTGCAAATGGTATAGCCGTAGGCCCCAATCCCTATTGCAACCGGCGGAAAGAAAAACAGGACATGTATGGGGGCTATCAAAGCTGTATAGGAGACTACTTGATTATTTTAATACGGTTTCCTAGGAATGCGTTGAGAAACACTGATCTAGTCTAGTCTGGACAGTCTCAGCCATAGGAAACTGAGCCCCAAGCTGCTATGGGTAGAATGCATGGGAAAGAGCATAGCAGTCAACCTGCAGACATATATCCTAACAAATAGTGTGTTGAAGGTTTAGTGCACTACTGCAAGCACAAATATGTGTGAGAGAGTGAATGGGTTTTTTAACAATGTACATACAGAAAGTATTCAGACCCCTTGACTTTTTCCACATTTTGTTACGCTACAACCTTATTCTAAAATTGATTAAATAAATGTTTTTCCTCATCAATCTACACACAATACCCCATAATGACAAAGCAAAACAGGTTTTTAGTCATTTTTGCAAATGTATAAAAAAAATAAAATAAATGAAATATCTTATTTACAAAAGTATTCAAACCCTTTGCTATGAGACTCTACAGTATACTGTTTACTTTACTGTATGTAGTATTTCTGTTTGTCATACAACTGCCCCAACTTTCTTTATCCATCAGTTATGATCCGATAAAATAAGTAGGGATCACTTATTACCCCTCCACTCTAATTAGAATGTCATAATCACAGTTAAACCTTAGTGGTAGGCTGTTTGTCTTGGCAGGGTGGAACACTGTGTGGGCATTGCCAGCAGTGCCCTTCTGGTGCCTAGCTGGCTGGCTGTAATTAATGAGGAGCTGGCTGGTTGATAGACACGCCACAGTCCCATTAATCACTGTCCTGGTCTTAACACACTGGGTTTGTTTGTGTGTGTGTGTGTGTGTGTGTGTGTGTGTGTGGAAAATGATTTACATAGTTTAGGGCTAGTGCCGTATCTGGATTTAGATCCTGACTTCACAGAGCTCTGACACCGAACTGTCTCCAACAGGACACACCTGTCCCTGGGACCTCATTATGCTCTGGATGACTCCTACAGTAGTGATGATGTATTTAAAATGCACAAATGATTTTTTTAAACAAGGTGGTGCCATTTCCTGCAATCCTGCAAAAGGCTTAAATGATTACATAGGGGCGCAGCCAGTCCACAAGGTGGGGCAGTAGCCCTCTTACATTCTTTGGGGTGAACCCTGGCACAGCTGGGTGCCTGCAAACACGAAGCGAGACCTCATCATCATGCGCCATGTCCTGTCTACCATTGTTCTCCCCTCACCACCAGACGCTGTGCCTTGGGACTGATGATGTCACAGTCTATCTGTGTAGTGTTGCAGTTTGGATGAGATCACCGGTTGGGAGGAGATGGTTGCCATGGTGTGCACGTGTGTGTGTGTGCGTCAGGCTCGTGTGTGCGATATCATTTCTATCTGCAATATTCAGAACACTGAGCCCTCCTGAACACGACCCTGGATGGTTTGATAGTCCAAACAAGCTGTATATTCCTAATATTCCTACTGTAACGCTTTGTTATTGCTTTGCTACTTTGCTAGTTCCCATTCATCTGACTGACTGTGTCCCTCTGTTTCTCCCTCTGTCCCCCAGATCGTGTGGGTGTCCCACTGAGCAGCAGCCACCATGGCCCTGATTCAGGCTCTGCCCATGCCGGCTGAGCGCCACCACACCCCCGGCCTCAACGGAACCCCCCACCGTCGCCCCTCTGCCCCCTACACGCCCCCCAACCTCCCCTCCACCTCACCCGCCTCCAACTCCCAGGAGGCCATGGGCTCCGTCAGCAGCCTCGTCGCCCACCGCCCCGGCCCGGCCCACCTGGCGCATCAATACCGGCCAGTTGATATAGGCCCCGAGCCGGGCACCTCCAGGCTCCACAGAACCACATTGGGCGCCACTTCCTGCCTGGGCTCCTCTGACACATCCCAGGATCAGCTGCTTAGTAGCCTCACTCCGCCTGGCAACAGGAAGCCCTTGATGGTGATTGGCTCCAGTAAGGACAGCAGGACCAATGGGAATTACTCATATCTGAACCAGCACTATGAGGGGGACTGGAATGACAACCATGTGGCTCATGGAAGCCCCAGGACCGGGATTGACACAGAGGAGGCCAAGGAGGGGCAGCTGGAGAGCCTCAACGGGAACGTAGGAGGAGCCCCGCCCAAACTGGTCCTCGTGTCGGGGAAGCTGGAGAAGGTGAGTATGGCCCTGTCCAGGCTATATGGTAGTCATTCAGTCTCCTCGAAATGTACAGTAGATCAATCTACTCTCACAGTAACACGATTAGAGCAAATAAATTAAACATTCACTGAATATACATTATTTACAACCTCTTACCCAACAATCCTCTCACCCCTCAGAACATGGAGAAAACAGTGATCCGGCCCACCGCCTTCAAACCCGTCATCCCCAAGAGCCGCAACTCCATGCAGTACCTCTCCCCTCGCCACGACCGGGCCAGCCTATCAGACAGCCAGAACAATCTCAACCTGTTGTCACCTGGTAGCCAGACGGACACTTTGTCGCCCTGCTTGGAGAAACGCACCTCCTACAGCAGTGGGCGCCACACGGGCGGTGGCAGCCAGACCTGCTCCATGTCTGACTCGGGCCGGAACTCCCTGTCGAGTCTGCCACCCTATGGCAGCGTCCCCTACAATCTGGCGCCCGCAGACACCCCGCTTGGCAGTGGCCACCTGGAGCCCATGAAGACGGCGCCTGCCAATGTGCACGGGCACTCCAACTCAGACAGCGGGCTCTCCTCGTCCAGTAAGAGCACAGGGTCGGGGTCGCTGAGCGGGCGCGTCCAGCCCCTGTCGGACAGTGGGTCAGGCGGGCGGTCGCCAGCCCCCGTGGAGGGTGGGTACGAGGGGGTGGTGAGGGACCTGGAGGAAAAGCTGAGGGAGAGAGATGTGGAGCTGCAGCAGCTCCGAAACAACCTGGACGAGAACGAGATGGCCATTTGTCAGGTACGTGGTGGTATAAATGGAAGACACAATCATCTTCCTTCACATATTCTAAAACACATGAAGGCATGCAAACGTACATACACCTGGCACACACACCATTTACCATCACACTCAAACCATTACAATCACTGTACACACACGCAGGCATGCATGCACACATACGATGCAACCCTCACACAATGCCACCCTCACCTAACCACCCCCCCCCCCCCCCACCCAACTTCCTTCCCTGTCTCCCCTCTCCCCCCAGGTTTATGAGGAGAAGCAAAAGCGCTGTGAGCTGGAGCTGGAGGAGCTGCGTCAGACCTGTGCCACACGGATGCAGACCCACTCACAGAAGGCCCAGCGCGCCCAGCAGGTGCTCCAGCTGCAGGTCTTCCAGCTGCAGCAGGAGAAGAAGAAGCTCCAGGAGGACTTCAGCCAGCTGCTGCAGGAGAGGGAGCAGCTGGAGGAGCGCTGCACCTCCTACGAGCACGAGAAGATCGAGCTAGGGCCCCGGCTGGAGGAGACCAAGTGGGAGGTGAGATGGGCCATAATACTGTCTGTGGCGGCCCCCTACCTCCTAGGCCTTGGCACTTCAGTATATATTGTAGACAAAGCGGATGGAGGTCTGTCCCAACACTAGCAGTATGTGTACTACTCAGGTAGAGACAGTGGATTTTAAATACCACTGTAAACCCTTTTGAGTAATTGCTGTAGTCTAGTACAAACGGTCCGCTCTGTAAGATGCTGGCGGGCAAGAGTCTGGCACGGTGTCGCATCATCATCAATCACATTATAACAAAGACACCAAGCTGGCTGCCTTCCTGTCTCTATCTCTTCTCTCTCGCTCTCTCTCTCTCTCTCTCTCTCTCTCTCTCTCTCTCTCTCTCTCTCACTCAGTCACTCTCTCTCTCTCACTCAGTCACTCTCTCACTCAGTCACTCTCTCTCACTCAGTCACTCTCTCTCTCTCTCTCTCTCTCTCTCTCTCTCTCTCTCTCTCTCTCTCTCTCTCTCTCTCTCTCTCTCTCTCTCTCTCATACAGTGCATTCGGAAAGTATTCAGACTCCTTCAATTTTTCCACATTTTGTTACGTTACAGCCTTATTCTAAAATAGATTAAATATTTGTATTTTCTCATCGATCTACACACTATACCCCATAATGACAAAGTGAAAACAGGTTTTTAGAAAATGTATTAAAATAAAAAACAGATACCTTATTTACATAAGTATTCAGACCCTTTGCTATGAGACTAGAAATTGAGCTCAGGTGCATCCTGTTTCCATTGATCATCCTTGAGATGTTTCTACAACTTGATTGGAGTCCACCTGTGGTCAATTCAATTGATTGGACATGATTTGGAAAGGCACACACCTGCGCTCCGAGACAGGATTGAGTCGAGGCACAGATCTGGGGAAGGGTACCAAAACATTTCTGCAGCATTGAAGGTCCCCAAGAACACAGTGGCCTCCATCATTCTTAAATGGAACAAGTTTGGAACCACCAAAACTGAGCAATTGGGGCAGAATGGCCTTGGCAAGGGAGGTGACCAAGAACCCGATGGTCACTCTGACAGAGCTCATGCTGTGGGGATGTTTTTCAGTGGCAAGGACTGGGAGACTAGTCAGGATCGAGGGAACGATGAACGGAGCAAAGTACAGAGAGATCCTTGATGAATACCTGCTCCAGAGAGCTCAGGACCTCCGACTGGGACGAAGGTTCACCTTCCAACAGGACAACGACCCTAAGCACACAGCCAAGACAACGCAGGAGTGGCTTTGGGACAAGTCTCTGATGTCCTTGAGTGGCCCAGCCAGAGCCCGGACTTGAACCCGATCAAACATCTCTGGAGAGACCTGAAAATAGCTGTGCAGCGACGCTCCCCATCCAACCTGACAGAGCTTGAGAGGATCTGCAGAGAAGAATGGGAGAAACTCCCCAAATACAGGTGTGACAAGCTTGTAGCGTCATACCCAAGAAGACTCGAGGCTGTAATCGCTGCTAAATGTGCTTCAACAAAGTACTGAGTAAAGGGTCTGAATACTTATGTAAATGTGATATTTCCGTTTTTTTTTTATTAAAACTTTGCATAAATGTCTAAAAACCTGTTTTTGCTTTGTCAATATGGGGTATTGTGTGTAGATTGATGAGGGGAAAAAACAATTGAATCCATTTTAGAATAAGACTGTAACGTAACAAAATGTGGAAAAAGTCAAGGGGTCTGAATCCTTTCCGAATGCACTGTATATTGTCATATTCCCTCATATATTCATAGGACTTAGTTTGTGGTGTGACTCCTCTATATATTAATGATGGGTTGTTCGCGAATGAACATCTCTTTTTGAACAGATCTTTTTGGTGAACGTCGGGAACCGAATCGCATTTGTAAAAGAGCCGTTCATTTGGCTCCCTGATTTGCATACTGTTACTATTGCTTTTAAGCTCACGATTATCTGCGGATAAATTATAAAAACATTCTGTGAAGATGGTAATTCCTCACCGCAGGAACAATAGAAAGTGAGGAGAGAGAGAGCCTCATTCTGGTCCACACATGTTTTTGCAGTGCGTAAAAATGTTTTCTTAAAAAACATTTGTTGGCCATCTAATAATTTGGTCAGGTAAAAATGTATTTGAACTCTCATGTCGGGATCTGACATAATGGCAGGCAACTTTATAGGTTTAACATAAGAGATTTGCTATTTTTGTCATGGTTTGGACATGTCATGGTACATTTTTAAGCACTACTGAACGAAGAGCCGTTTGGGAGCCAAATGAACAGCTCTTTTAGCTGAACGGAGCCAAATGATCCGGCTCACCGAAAAGACTCGGAATGCCCGTCACTACTACTGAGTGTAGAAAACATTAGGAACACCTGCTCTTTCCATGACATAGACCAGGGATGGGCAACTCCAGTCCTCAGGGGCTGGGGTGGTGTCACACTTTTTCCCCATCCCTAGAAAACACAGCTGATTTAAACTAATTGCATTCTAAACTGAAGATCATGATTAGTTGATAATTGAAGTCAGGTGTGTTAGCTGGAGCAAAAGTATGATACCAATCAGGCCAACGAGGACTGGAGTTGCCCATCCCTGACATAAACTGACCAAGTGAATGCAGGTGAAACCTATGATCCCTTATTGATGTCACCTGTTAAATCCACTTAAATTAGTGTAGATGAAGGGGAGGAGACAGGTTAAAGGATTTTAAATCCTTGAGACCTAGATTGTGTATATGCCATTCAGAGGGTGAATGGGCAAGACAAACTATTTAAGTGCCTTTGAACGGGGTATAATAGTAGGAGCCAGGCGCACCAGTTTGAGTGTGTCAATAACTGCAACGCAGCTGGGTTTTTCACGCTGTGTATCAAGAATGGTCCATCACCCAAAGGACATCCAGCCAACTTGACACCAGCATTGGAGTCAACATGGGCCAGCATCCCTGTGGAACGCTTTCAACACCTTGTTGTCCATGCCCCGACAAATTGAGGCTGTTCTGAGGGCAAAAGGGGGTGCATTAGGTGTTCCTAATGTTTTGTGCACTGTGTATATGACACTAGTTGTGTTTCCTCCAGGTGTGTCAGAAGTCTGGGGAGATCTCCCTGCTGAAGCAGCAGCTGAAGGATGTCCAGGGGGAGCTGGCTCAGCGCGTGGGGGAGATTGTCTCTCTGCGTGGCCAGCTCCGGGACTCCCGTGGTGAGCTCACCACCAGCCAGGCCCTGCTGCAGGAGGCCACCTCCGCCGGCCGCCTGCGCACCCTGGAGCTGGAAGTTTGCCAGAACGAGCTGCAGCGCCGCATGAGTGAGGCCCAACTCCTCCGTCAGAAGGTGGGCCGCCTGGAGGAGGAGACGGCCCGCTTCCGTGCAGACGCCGCAGCCAATCAGACAAGCCTCCAGGGCCCCGCCCACAATGGTAGTGGAGGCAGGCAGTGCCAGGCCTTCCCGGAGGAGCCACATTTGTTGACCTATGAGAGCGACGAAGCCAAGGCCAAGCTGGCCTATGAGAGCGAGGCCCTCCAGAGCCTCCGGGTGCAGATGGAGAGTCTGAGGGCGGAATTAGCCACAGAACGCCAGCGGGGGGAGGAGCAGGCGTGCAGCTTTGAGGAGGAGCATAGGGTCTGGCAGGAGGAAAAGGACAAGGTGATCCAGTACCAGAAGCAGCTGCAGCAGAACTACGTGGGGATGTACCAGAGGAACCGGGAGCTGGAGGGTATGCTGCGGGAGCTCAGTCTAGAACTGGAGACTCGGGACGAGCTGGAGGAGCTGGACGAAGGCAGCGGCAACGAGATCAACTTTGACGAGATCACCGCTACTGAGATCTGACACCACCACCTTTTCTCTCTGTGTCTCCTTCTGTCTCTCTATCTGCCATATGCATGTGATCCACTAGGAGCGTCTATAGGAAGCCGGATAGCCTCTATAATTACTTAGGTCACTTCAGAATCCTTCAGTAGGTCTCCATCAGGGTCTCTACAGTATGTAGTAGTCTTTCTATAGTTGGTCTACTCTCCCTATGTTCCTGCGCTTCCACTCCGTCTCACAAATGTCTTATTATTATGGTTGACTCCCACTGGCTAATGTCGACAAACACACACACAGCGGCTGTTTCTAATCTATATTTCAAAAAGGAGTTGAAGCTCTGTGTGCTACAGTAGGCTCCTCCCACTTGTGAACATCTAGTCAAAACATGGATATTCTAAGCAGATATTACTAATTTGGTTTGTTTCCCTTACCTTTTTTAGATTACGCTGGGCTTATGTTCAATGTAATATAAGACTGCCAACATTTATAAGACCTTGATATTAAGCACACAAACAAAAAATATAGCATTTAAATGTTTTGTTTAAATTCATATCTGAGGAACTGAGGAAGTCTTAAAATTCTACAAAAAACATACCACTGTGGCAAGCATTTTTGGAGGGTTGAATTTATTGGGCCTTTCTGAAACTGGAGCTGGTGGAGGGGTTGCAGGTAGTCCCTCAGATTTCTGAAAAGATAACACAATTTCAACCCTTATGGGCTTTAAATCGTACACACACAAACACAGTGTGATCTGATGTGACAATATAAGAGTGCACTGACAGGGAGAGTGATGGTGAAGTCAGATGAGTCTCGTACAGCGTGGCGGGAATACATCCTTTCTTTCTGTGGTATTCACTGAACATCATGTAACTCTCCTCCAAATGTGGACTTCCTCCTTGTTCACTGTGGGTGTTCTTGGTAGGTAGAGCCTGATGACACTCGATTTCTTCGGCATGTTGTTCTCGAATACAACAGGTTAATTGGCAAAAAGAAGGGAAACGCTTCAATGTTACCATTACCAAAAGTCTCCTCTTTCCATGACACATTTGAGTATCTAAATATGAATTTTCCTTTTACACACACAGGATGTCATTTTATTCCGTATCTGCACAGTATCTTTAGCTAGCAAAACGGAAACCGTGGAAATTCTAAGGAAACATGTCACTAAAGCACACTCAGACAACAGATATGCTTTCTATTGTTGTGAAGAGAATCAACTTTACCTTTGTGATCTCACTTCCGTAGAAGTACAATAGCATGGATGGATTAATCTCTATGGATCGTTGTGTTTCTCTGCCAATATTTATATGCCGCTCTGGCTATTTGTGAAAGTGCTTTTTGTACAGGTGAGAGGACATGCACTAAGTGAGAGATGTTTAGTCTTTTATAAAGTTAAATTAGACTGGCCAAGCTATGACTGTTATCTTTTCATAAACTTCTGTATAAAGAAGCACACCCATCCACAAGAGGAAGACACTTACATGTCCCCATATCGCTGTTAACCCTTCATTGTAGATATCCCTAATACTGACAAATCATATATGGTGAAATATAGATATTATCTATTTCAAAATAAACATAGCCACTGTGAATAGACCAAAGCAATGTCACATGTTCTGTTGGGTCCTTACAGTACCATGTCTGCATATTGATGTTTGAGTGAATGCCCCTTCATATATTCTAAAGAAAATTATCCACAGTATTTGTATGAAGACATTAAATGTATATTTTCATGCTGTACATTTATTGTACCAACTGACTATGTTTTTAATAAAACGATTGATAAAAACGCATAGCTGATTTTTAAATGGCTAACTGATTGTTTGTTCTAAATGTCATTTTATGACATTTCTGTTATATAATTGTTTGATCAAACAATGTAATTATCAAAAAGCATGTATTGAGTGGTTGATTCTATTAGTAGGTCAGACAAGGAACATCAAGCCACAGCAGTAAAAGAAAAATGGTCAGTTGCTCTTTATTTTATTATGTTAAGTCCCGTTTATACATGTACGTTGTGCTAACATGTCACTCCCCTGTATCCCGATTGTCTGGCCTGTAGACACTTCACCAAGAATTGGAGAAACTTAGGGCATGTTTACACCTGATAATAACATGTGAATTTCCAATCAAGATGATCACTATAGTTATTGGCTCGGTGTGTCTATACATGGTTTTAACATTACCATCAACTGACAGGTGGATCTGATCCAAGCCTGCCATCTTCTGGTCTCCGCTGCACACTGCTCAGACCATAGTGAATTATAGAGGCCTCTAGTGGCCAAAAGGCTGTAATTAGCATGGGCTGATCCCTCCTTGTGACTCTGTTGGAGTCATGTTCAGCCGGGTCATCAGGAGGGATCTGCCAATCGTGAAGAAGAAAAAATGGACTACTTCAAAATGGAGATTGCCTCAATGGCGCTGCCCATGCTGTCACAGACGCTATTAATGGCACATATACAAAGATGAGCCCTCTATTTTTCTCTATGGCTCAGACAGACAACCATTAGTTCAGTTCACAGGGGTCCTGGAAGGCACTCGGATTACAGTTTGCATACATTAGCCGGTGTATTTAATGATTTAAGTAAAGTATTGTCCAAAGAAATGTCTGTATATAAATGTGTATATTTATTTTGCATCATTTGTGAAAGTGATGTGAAAATTAATACACTATAACAAATAATGAAAAGTGAAGGATTGTGTGAACTGGCCTACTATTGGCTCTGAGTGGCTTGACGCTTTAGGTAAGCACACACATCACTGGCTGCTGGTTCCCGTGGCGGCAGGTCTCTTAGTCCCCTCGTTTGATTGGCCAGATCCTCCTGGTTCACCATTGAGGGAACAGGAGTTTCCTAGTAACCCACATAATTCCTTCAGACCGTCACTTTTCACTCCTCACTCTTCTCCCCTTCTTCCAACATACTGCAGCTCTGTTTGTGTTGCTTCTAGGGTTTAGGTCTTGGGCCTCCAGGCCAAAGCTCAATTTTTCTGTGCAGTGAGTCAGTCTTAAGTCAAGGGCTTTTGGGGACTTTGACTATAAACACCATGGGGTCTTTGGCCTTGTTGCTGAAAGCCCTGCGGATGATCTCCACAGCGTGGGGGTGAGTCACGCCCTGCAGGGACACTCCATCCACTGACACCAGCTCAAATCCAGCCTGGGGATGCAACCAGAGGAAGGAAGGTTAGAGATAATGCATTTGCCTTGTGCATGCTCTCAGTTGCTCTATTTTGCACTCACACACACACCTAGCCATCTTTCAATTCAACAACATCACGTTACTTTGTCCTTTGGGCTCAAAAACCTCATTTTGATTGTATTGTCCTATGTTCTCTTTCTATAATGTGGTGCCAAAGAGTCTAAATGCCTCGGTTCAAAGCATGAGTTACTCAAATAATTCCCCCCCTCATATCAGTACTCTGGCTTCAAATAAAAGAGCTCCTTCAAAAGGCTTATTATAACAAGGATCCCTTGAGATTACCTTGGGCCTCTATCTCATCACTATGTTTGATTTCATCACTAGCTACATTCATATTTCCATTAATCAGGTAAGTCAATTCAAATTAGTTGGAAAAGATCTGAATGGAATATGTGGCGTGATGTTCATAAGGTGAAATGCTTATCTGAATGGTGGTTTATGGGTCATGTTGTACTGAGACTGGTTATAGCCTTAGTGGTTATAACAGGTCATATCACAGGTTATAACAGGTATACCTTCAGGACTTCACACGTGGAGGCGGCTCCTCCTGGGAAGATCTTCTCTATCTTCACCACCGGCTGCACCTTGGACTCCATCCCACCAGAAATACTGATCCCTGGACCAGTAAAACACAGGCATTATTACATACACAAACAATAAAAAATCTATTGAATTGTATGAGTGAAACTTTGTATTGTCTCTGTTGTAAGAGCTACTTTGCTGATCCCTTCTATAATAGTGAATAAATATTACAGAGAGGTACTGGAGGTGCAACTGTTTGGTAAACCATGAGGATGGCAAACTGTTGATTTCCCTGACTCAACACATACACATAAGGATATAAAAAGTCTACACACCCCAAGTTTTTGTGATGTAAAAGAATGAGACAAAGATAAATCATGTCAACTTTTTCCACCTTTAATGTGACCTATAACGTGAACAATTCAATTGAAAAACAAACTGAAATCTTTGAGGGGGAAAAATTTTAAATTAAAAACTCACAATAACCTGGTTGCATAAGTGTGCACACCCTCAAACTAATACTTTGTTGAAGCACCTTTTGATTTTATTACAGCACTCAGTCTTTTTGGGTAGGAGTCTATTAGCATGGCACATCTTGACGTGGCAATATTTGCCCACTCTTCTTAGCAAAAGCGCTCCAAATCTGTCAGATTGTGAGGACATCTCCTGTGCACAGCCCTCTTCAGATCACCCCAGAGATGTTCAATTGGATTCAGGTCTGGGCTCTGGCTGGGCCATTCCAAAATGTTAATCTTCTTCTGGTGGAGCCTTGCTTTTGTGGATTTGGATGTGTGCTTTGGGTCGTTGTCGTGCTGAAAGGTGAACTTCATCTTCAGCTTTCTAACGGACGCCTGAAGGTTTTGTGCCAAAATTGCCTGGTATTTGGAACTGTTCATAATTCCCTCCACCCTGACTAAGGCCCCGGTTCCAGCTGATGAAAAACAGTGATGCTGCCACCACCATGCTTCACTGTGGGTATGGTGTTCTTTGGGTGATGTGCAGTGTTGTTTTTGCGCCAAACATACCTTTTGGAATTATGGCCAAAAAGTTCAACCTTGGTTTCATCAGACCATAACACATTTTCCCACGTGCTTTTGGGGGACTTGATGTTTGTTTTTGCAAACTTCAGCCGGGATTGGATGTATTTCTTTGTAAGAAAAGGCTTCCGTCTTGCCACCCTACCCCATAGCCCATTCATATGAACAATACGGGAGATTGTTGTCACATGTAGCACACAGCCAGTACTTGCCAGAAATTCCTGCAGTTCATTTAATGTTGCTGTAGGCCTCTTGGAAGCCTCCCTGACCAGTTTTTTTCTCGTATTTTCATAAATTTTGGAGGGACGTCCAGTTCTTGGTAATGTCTCTGTTGTGCCATATTTTCTCCACTTGATGATGACTGTCTTCACTGTGTTCCATAGTCTATGTAATGCTTTGGAAATAATTTTTTACCCTTCTCCTGACTGATATCTTTCAACAATGAGATCCCTCTGATGCCTTGGAAGCTCTCTGCGGACCATGGCTTTTGCTCTGAGATGCAACTAAGAAAATACATTTGAACTTTATTTGTGATTAATCAGAGTCACTTTAAATGATAGCAGGTGTGTAATGACTTCTATTTAACATGAGTTTGAATGTGATTGGTTAATTCTGAACACAGCCACATCCCCAGTTATAAGAGGGTGTGCACACTTATGCAACCAGGTTATTGTAAGGTTTTTATTTTTCATTTTTCCCCCTTGAAGATTTCAGTTTGTTTTTCAATTTAATTGTTCACATTATAGGTCACATTAACAGTGGAAAAAGTTCTGACATGATTTATCTTTGTCTCATTCTTTTTTATCACAAAAACCTGGCATTTTAACAGGGGTGTGTAGACTTTTATATCCACTGTACATATATTATATATTACATGAACTCACCCAGTGACTGCTTAGTCTTGGAGATGCTGACGATTTTGAGCTCGTACTCTATGACAGGAGCATTGCCATTGAGGCCATTCTCAGAGGAGCTGGGATGACCGTTCACCCGCTCCCTTCCCAACCCTACCACCCCCTCTGCTGTGAAGTCAGCGTCCAGGCCAGAGCCAAACACCCGGGACAACAGGGGCCTGCTGCGTCGAGGAGCGCTCTGCAGAGTGAACACAGTTTCTTTCTCCCTTTTATCAGTTTTCTCCTTTTTACCCTTGGAAGTCCCATTCCTGAACGGAGACCTCCCCCGCTCTGAGATGGTATCTCCCTGGTCCATTGACACATCATCAAAGTGGACCGAGCGGACCGTACCACTGTCTCCTCGTAGGGGGGAACGGGGGTCGGTGGTGTTGCTGTGGGCCAGCAGCCAGTTGGGGAGCAGGGGGCTGACGGAGGGAGGACGGAGGGAGTCTGAGAAGGCGTAGCCATCCACTGGGACATCCAGTAGGGGGGGGAATGCTCTGGAGGTATGGGTGGGCTGCTCCCGGGGGCTCTGGGACCCAGACAGACGCAGCCGCTCTAGCTCCTCCAGCAGCTGGCTCTCCCTCTCCACCTCCTGGGCACTGTGAAGCTCAAAGCCCCCCTGGAAGTCTACATGGGACCGCAGGAGTCAGTGTAACAACCAAGATCCTGGAGAGCAGACTTATGTTCCAGCGCAACACAACTTTAAAACCTGTTTCCAATAATCATGGTGTTCAACCTGAACCACAATTAGTTGAATCAGGTGTGATAGTGCCGGGCTGGAACAAAAGCCTGCACTTCCTCCCCCATGAATGAATGAAAGAAACACTGCTGTACTGTAGATGGGACCGTACTGACCTGGGATGGGGGTGATGAGGTGTCGTCTGGGGGCTCGTCCAGACTGGGGGGAGCGCAGAAGTGGGGATCTGACTACATAATAAAGGAGAGGAGAAAAGGGGTAATTTAAAGAATGGAAACTCTTTCCTTCAAATGTATTATTGAATGTATGTGTAGTGTACATTACTCTATGTATATTCGTCTTTCCTCACCAGAACGGTACTTCAAGATATCATAGGCCTCCACTTCGAACGGGACCACCATATTGTTGAAAAGCCCTAGGTCAGCTGGAGGCAGCAACATTCTAAAGCGGAAGAGAGAGAGAGTTATTAACTTATAAAAGAACACGGTTGTTTTCATTGTCCAGTCATCAAATAATTGGATTTGTGAGTATGAGCCGAATCCTAAATCCTTCAACTGGTCGCTCCCGCTCCAATCTAAATCCTTAAAGTGAATGTTGTTATTATTGTTTTGCCTCTCTATGTACCTGATCTCTCTCAGTAGCAGCAGCTTCTCAGGCCGGTCCAGCACGGCCAGCAGGTGGTGCACCAGGTTCTCCACCACACGCTCTGTTATGTACTGCAAGAGAATAGTGATTATAACACTATCAATGCAAAATCCATGGAATAAGGATGATAACAGTTCATATTTTCGCTGCCTCTCCTGCCCAGGCCCCAGGCTCCATACCCGTCGGCAGGTCTTCATGACAGAGGCCACGTCGTCCTCACTCAGCAGCCTGCGGGCCATGCCCTCCACCACCCCCAGCATCTCTGGGTCCGGCCCACTGGGTCTGCGCCTGCGCTCCCCATCTAAGGACATAACCAACACCCAGTTGATAGTAGTATACCAACTCAACTCTATAACAAAATAACTCTGCTTTTAGCCATACTTACACTACCGTTCAAAAGTTTGGGGTCACTTAGAAATGTCCTTGTTTTTGAAAGAAAATGATTTTTTTGGTCCATTAAAATAACATAAAATTGATCAGAAATACAGTGTAGACATTGTTAATGTTGTAAATGGCTATTGTAGCTGGAAACGGCTGATTTTTTATGGAATATCTACATAGGCGTACAGAGTCCCATTATCAGCAACCATCAGTCCTCTGTTCCAATGGCATGTTGTGTTTGCTAATCCAAGTTTATCATTTAAAAAGGCTAATTGATCATTAGAAAACCCTTTTGCAATTATGTTAGCACAGTTGAAAACTGCTGTGCTGATTAAAGAAGCAATAAAACTGGCCTTCTTGAGACTAGTTGAGTATCTGGGTTCGATTACAGGCTCAAAATGGCCAGAACAAAGAACTTTCTTCTGAAACTCGTCAGTCTGTTCTTGTTCTGAGAAATGAAGGCTAGCTATTCCATGCGAGAAATTGCCAAGAAACAGAAGATCTCATACAACGCTGTGTACTACTCCCTTCACAGAACAGTGCAAACTGGCTCTAACCAGAATAGAAAGAGGAGTGGGAGGCCCCGGTGCACAACTGAGCAAGAGGACAAATACATTAGAGTGTCTAGTTTGAGAAACAGACGCCTCACAGGTCCTCAACTGGCAGCTTCATTAAATAGTACCCGCAAAACACCAGTCTCAACGTCAACAGTGAAGAGGCTACTCCGGGATGCTGACCTTCTAGGCAGAGTTGCAAAGAAAAAGCCATATCTCAGACTGGCCAATAAAAAGAAAAGATTAAGATGGGCAAAAGAACACAGACACTGGACAGAGGAAGATTGGAAAAAGGTGTTATGGACAGACGATTCGAAATTTGAGGTGTTCGGATCACAAAGAAGAACATTTGTGAGACGCAGACCAAATGAAAAGATGCTGGAGGAGTGCTTGATGCCATCTGTCAAGCATGGTGGAGGCAATGTTATGGTCTGGGGGTGCTTTGTTGGTGGTAAAGTGAGAGATTTGTACAGGGTAAAAGGGATCTTGAAGAAGGAAGGCTATCACTCCATTTTGCAACGCCATGCCATACCCTGTGGACGGCGCTTGATTGGAGCCAATTTTCTCCTACAACAGGACAATGACCCAAAGCACAGCTCCAAACTATGCAATAACTATTTAGGGAAGAAGCAGTCAGCTGGTATTCTGTCTATAATGGAGTGGCCAGCACAGTCACCAGATCTCAATCCTATTGAGCTGTTGTGGGAGCAGCTTGACCATATGGTACGTAAGAAGTGCCCATCAAGCCAATCCAACTTGTGGGAGGTGCTTCAGGAAGCATGGGGTGAAATCTCTTCAGATTACCTCAACAAATTGACAACTAGAATGCCAAAGGTATGCAAGACTGTAATTGCTGCAAATGGAGGATTCTTTGACGAAAGCAAAGTTTGAAGGACACAATTATTATTTCAATTAAAAATCATTATTTCTAACCTTGTCAATGACTACATTTCATATTCATTTTGCTATATTTCCTATTCAAACTCATTTCATGTATGTTTTCAAGTGACCCCAAACTTTTGAACGGTAGTGTATATTCACAGACATGACGACTCACAATTACAGAGTAAAACTCTTTTGAAATAACAGCTAGTTGCACCATTGACTAAATTGATTCTCTTATAGTATACAGGATCATTGAAGGTACTACTAACCTCTGCCTGCCTCGGAATTGGGGGGGGACTTGGAGCGCCCCTTGGAGGTGTCTCTCCTGCGACCCCTGAACAGCAGGTTGACAAAGGTCTTGGAGCGCTGTAGGGTGCTCCTCTCAGGATTCTTCCCTCCTTTCTGCTGTTGTTTCTTCTGCTTCGTCTGCTTCACCTCTATGGCAGGACAGGAAGGAGACGGGGTCTCAACAAAACAAGACTATACTCAGTCATTTTACAACAATAGGTTCTTCTGAGTTGTCCAATCGTTTCAGTAAACTCCCTTTCTATCTAAACCTCTCCACCCCTCTGGCCTCACCTGCTACAGTGACCTGGCTCTGGGAACGGTGGATGGGCTGGCTGGGTCTACTGAGGGCCATGAGGACGGCCGTTTTGGGGGACTCTCCTCTCCTCCTACCTCCCTCCCCTCCCTCCCCCCGGATGGCTGAGTCCTGTAGGAGGGTAGTGGCCCCCAGGCTGTGGCTAGTGTCCGCCCCCATCCTGTGAGGTGAGGGGTCGGTCTGGATGGCGGTGTCAGTACACTGGCCAGACCCAGACCTCTGGTCCTCAGTAGAGATACAGACGTCCACCATGTCCATGCCGAAGGGCAGGCTGGGGGGGAACATGACCTGAGACAGTCCGCTCAGAGAGGAGATAGGAGTCCCAGAGGACAAGGATGAGGCAGAGGAGTTGGAGTCTGAGCCCTGGGAGGAAGACTGCCGAGTCTCATTGCCACTGGCCACTGAGAGAGAGGAGACACACACATCAGTACAGATATAGTGTTTGTTTTGAATTGTTTGTGTAGAAGATCTATATAAAAAAAAGCTACAGATATAGTGTTTGTTTTGAATTGTTTGTGTGGAAGATCTATATATATTTTTTCTTTACAGATACAGTGCCTTGCAAAAGTATTCATCCACCTTGGCATTTTTCCTATTTTGTTGCATTACAACCTGAAATTTAAATTGATTTTTATTTGGATATCATGTAATGGACATACACAAAATAGTCCAAATTGGTGAAGTGAAATGAAAAAAATTACTTGTTTCAAAAAATTCGAAAAAATAAGTAACGGAACAGTGGTGCGTGCATATGTATTCACCCCCTTTGCTATGAAGCCCCTAAATAAGATCTGGTGCAACCAATTACCTTCAGAAGTCACAAAATTAGTTAAATAAAGTCCACCTGTGTGCAATCTAAGTGTCACAAGATCTCAGCATATATACACCTGTTCTGAAAGGCCCCAGAGTCTGCAACACCACTAAGCAAGGGGCACCACCAAGCAAGCGGCACCATGAAGACCAAGGAGCTTTCCAAACAGTTCAGGGACAAAGTTGTGGAGAAGTACAGATCAGGGTTGGGTTATAAAAAAATATCAGAAACTATGAACATCCCACAGAGCACCATTAAATCCATTATTAAAAAATGGAAAGAATATGGCACCACAACAAACCTGCCAAGAGAGGGCCGCCCACCAAAACTCACGGACCAGGCAAGGAGGGCATTAATCAGAGAGGCAACAAAGAGACCAAAGATAACCCTGAAGGAGCTGCAAAGCGCCACAGCGGAGATTGGAGTATCTGTCCATAGGACCACTTTAAGCCGTACACTCCACAGAGCTGGGCTTTACGGAAGAGTGTCCAGAAAAAAGCCATTGCTTAAAGAAAAAAATAAGCAAACACGTTTGGTGTTCGCCAAAAGGCATGTGGGAGACTCCCCAAACATATGGAAGAAGGTATTCTGGTCAGATGAGACGAAAATTGAGCTTTTTGTCCATCAAGGAAAACGCTATGTCTGGCGCAAACCCAACACCTCTCATCAACCCGAGAACACCATCCCACCACCATGCTGTGGGGAAGTTTTTCATTGGCAGGGACTGGGAAACTGGTCAGAATTGAAGGAATGATGGATGGCGCTAAATACAGGGAAATTCATGAGGGAAACCTGTTTCAGTCTTCCAGAGATTTGAGACTGGGACAGAGGTTCACCTTCCAGCAGGACAATGACCCTAAACATACTGCTAAAGCAACACATGAGTGGTTTAAGAGGAAACATTTAAATGTCTTGGAATGGCCTAGTCAAAGCCCAGACCTCAATCCAATTGAGAATCTGTGGTATGACTTAAAAATTGCCGTACACCAGCGGAACCCATCCAACTTGAAGGAGCTGGAGCAGTTTTGCCTTGAAGAATGGGCAAAAATCCCAGTGGCTACATGTGCCAAGCTTATAGAGACATACCCCAAGAGACTTGCAGCTGTAATTGCTGCAAAAGGTGGCTCTACAAAGTATTGACTTTGGGGGGAATGAATAGTTACGCACGCTCAAGCTTTCAGGTTTTTTGTCTTATTTCTTGTTTGTTTCACAAAAAAAATATTTTGCATCTTCAAAGTGGTAGGCATGTTGTGTAAATCAAATGATACAAACCCCCCAAAAATTCATTTAAATTCCAGGTTGTAAGGCAACAAAATAGGAAAAATGCCAAGGGGGGTGAATACTTTCACAAGCCACTGTAGTGTTTGTTTTGAATTGTTTGTGTGGAAGATCTATAAAAAATATTAAAGTTACAGATATAGTGTTTGTTTTGAATTGTTTGTGTGGAAGATATATTTTTTTAAAAATACAAGTTAGCAAAAGTCACCAGTGGCAAGTTGCTTTCTTAAATAATTCAAAAACACCACTGAAACATAATATAGGCTACATGAGATAAGGAGATGGTTACATACACTTGTTAAGCCACCTGTATTCTGCCACCATCTCCTTATAGGCAGGGTATCGTCCCACTTCCTGCAAAGATATGGCCAGAGATATGCAAATAGGTTACAGTAGAGTTCTTGACACATTCACAGGATCCTTATATTTGATAAAGAGTAACTCTAGAAACACAAAGACAGAGTCATATATACCTTAGAGAGAGAGCAGTAAAGGTCCACACGTCTACAACAAGCAATGGAAATCGTTTTCTTCCTAACACATATTCTACCTTTGACATGCTTTGTACTGTTATTTTCCTAGTGCTGGTATAGTGTTTCCCTGTTAAAGAGGGGGCAAGGCGAGGTAAAGAATCAGAGAACAAAAACGTACAAAATGCATCTGTATGCTTTGATCACCACCTGATCCTGGCCGATCTGCCTGGTGAATAATGCATACGGCCTGGCTGTTTTTCACAGGGTGAAACCCAACCCACCACAAGTAAAGTGAGCAAGCAATATTACGACTGCATGCCAGCTGTCTGCCCTGCCACGCAACCTGCTCTTTTGGGAGTGTGTACTGTAGCAACAGTGTCAGTGTGTTTGTGAGTGAGTGAGTGAGTGAGTGAGTGAGTGAGTGAGTGAGTGAGTGAGTGAGTGAGTGAGTGAGTGAGTGAGTGAGTGAGTGAGTGAGAGAGAGAGAGAGAGAGACCACTGACAAAGACATGATCAGTCTATAATTTTAATGGTAGGTTTATTTGAACAGTGAGAGAAAGAATAACAACAAAGAAATCCAGAAAAACGCATGTCAAAAATGTTATAAATTGATTTGCATTTTAATGAGGGAAATAAGTATTTGACCCCTCTGCAAAACATGACTTAGTACTTGGTGGCAAAACCCTTGTTGGCAATCACAGAGGTCAGAAGTTTCTTGTAGTTGGCCACCAGGTTTGCACACATCTCAGGAGGGATTTTGTCCCACTCCTCTTTGCAGATCTTCTCCAAGTCATTAAGGTTTCGAGGCTGACGTTTGGCAACTCGAGCCTTCAGCTCCATCCACAGATTTTCTATGGGATTAAGGTCTGGAGACTGGCTAGGTCACTCCAGGACCTTAATGTGCTTCTTCTTGAGCCACTCCTTTGTTGCCTTGGCCGTGTGTTTTGGGTCATTGTCATGCTGGAATACCCATCCACGACCCATTTTCAATGCCCTGGCTGAGGGAAGGAGATTCTCACCCAAGATTTGACGGTACATGGCCCCGTCCATCGTCCCTTTGATGCGGTGAAGTTGTCCTGTCCCCTTAGCAGAAAAACACCCCCAAAGCATAATGTTTCCACCTCCATGTTTGACGGTGGGGGATGGTGTTCTTGGGGTCATAGGCAGCATTCCTCCTCCTCCAAACACGGCGAGTTGAGTTGATGCCAAAGAGCTCCATTTTGGTCTCATCTGATCACAACACTTTCACCCAGTTCTCCTCTGAATCATTCAGATGTTCATTGGCAAACTTCAGACGGGCATGTATATGTGCTTTCTTGAGCAGGGGGACCTTGCAGGCACTGCAGGATTTCAGTCCTTCACGGCGTAGTGTGTTACCAATTGTTTTCTTGGTGACTATGGTCCCAGCTGCCTTGAGATCATTGACAAGATCCTCCCATGTAGTTCTGGGCTGATTCCTCACCGTTCTCATGATCATTGCAACTCCACTAGGTGAGATCTTGCATGGAGCCCCAGGCCGAGGGAGATTGACAGTTATTTTGTGTTTCTTCCATTTGCGAATAATCGCACCAACTGTTGTCACCTTCTCACCAAGCTGCTTGGCGATGGTCTTGTAGCCCATTCCAGCCTTGTGTAGGTCTACAATCTTGTCCCTGACATCCTTGGAGAGCTCTTTGGTCTTGGCCATGGTGGAGAGTTTGGAATCTGATTGATTGAATGCTTCTGTGGACAGGTGTATTTTATACAGGTAACAAACTGAGATTAGGAGCCCTCCCTTTAAGAGTGTGCTCCTAATCTCAGCTCGTTACCTGTATAAAAGACACCTGGGAGCCAGAAATCTTTCTGATTGAGAGGGGGTCAAATACTTATTTCCCTAATTAAAATGCAAATCAATTTATAACATTTTTGAAATGCGTTTTTCTGGATTTTGTTGTTGTTATTCAAATAAACCTACCATTAAAATTATAGACTGATAATTTCTTTGTCAGTGGGCAAAAGTACAAATTCAGCAGGGGATCAAATACTTTTTTCCCTCACTGTATACAGGAAGTGGTAGAAGGACAAAGGTCAAAGGAGGGCCCCCTCACTCACCTTGATGGTCAGCATGATGTGTGTGTGGCTCTTCAGCACCTCCACAGCACTGCTGTGGCTGATGTCCTCAAAGCTTACACCGTTGGCCGCAAGGATCTGGTCGCCCATCTTAATGCCGTTCTGTTCACCCAGACCTCCAGGATCCAGTCTGACACAGCACAGCATAATAATATCACTATACAGCACAGGTAATACATATAATATATCATATATATAATATAGTCCGGCACAGCACACAGCACAGGAAATACAGACACTGCAAACTAAGCAGAGATTTAAATGATGAATTCAAAAAGCGGTTCAACTTTATTTCTAATGATTTCTTTGTTTCTCTAGCCTGAGATGTTACAGTATGTGCCTACTTGGAGACGTAGATGCCCAGGCCGAACTCCTTGCCCCCTCGGATGTTGAAGCCCAGGCAGTAGTCGTCTGAGGTGGTGTAGAGGTGGACGATCCTCCGCAGTGCCCCATCTGAGCTGGCCACCGAGGCGGAGGGCGTACGCCCACTCTCCTCCACCACCATCCTACGTTGAATCAGATCCACCCTGCAATGGAGATATGTTATAGGGTTGAGCGTTTTTGTGAAGTATACTGGTACATATGGATACACACTGTAATAGAGTTATACTCCATTTTGAGTAATCGAACCATTGATATATACTGAGTGTACAAAACATTATGAACATTATGCTCTTTCCATGACATAGACTGACCAGGTGAATCCAGGTGAAATCTGTGATCCCTTATTTATGTCACTTGTTAAATCCACTTCAGTCAGTGTAGATTAAGGTGAGGAGACATGTTAAAGAAGGATTTTTAAGCCTTAAGACAACTGAGACATGGATTGTGTATTTGTCATTCAGAGGGTGAATGGGCAAGACAAGTGCCTTTGAGCGGGGTATGGTAGTAGGTGCCAGGCACACCGGTTTGAGTGTGTCAAGAACTGCAACGCTGCTGGGTTTTTCACGCTCAACCATTTCCTGTGTGTATCAAGAATGGACAACCAGCTAACTTGACATCTGTGGGAAGTATTGGAGTCAACATGGGCCAGCATCCCTGTGGAATGCTTTCGACACCTTGTAGTGTCCATGCCCCAACGAATTGAGGCTGTTCTGAGGGCAAAAGGGGGTGGAACTCAATATTAGGAAGATGTTCCTAATGTTTTGTACACACAGTGTATACTGGTACATAAGGATACACACTGTAATAGAGTTATACTCACTTACATTTAGGCTATGAGTAATCGAACAATTGATATATACTGTACACATGTAAAGACACATGAACAGACCTGTATAAGTACTTAAAGATAAACTATGGAAGTTAAGTTGCTAATTAGATAAAGCTTTATTGACAGGATTCTAACTAAACACAATCAAATCAGGTAGACAATTCAAGTGGTAAAAGTGACTCACAATTCCAAACCGTGCCTATGAAGTGACAGAGAAAATGTGTCATTTCTAATAGGAGGTCTGTGCTTACCAGGTTGTCTTCTCCTTGGAGTAGCGGATGCCGGGTACTTTGCCCACGCGTCTCACCACCATCCTCAGTCTGTTGTTCCCTGTCAGGACTTTAACTGCACTGCCCATAGTGATGCTCTCCAGGCTCACCCCATTCACCTCCACCAGCTTGTCCCCCACACACAGGCCTGCCTGCTCTGTGGACATATACAGTGCATTCGTAAAGTATTCAGACCCCTTGACTTTTTCCACATTTTGTTATGTTACAGCCTTATTCCAAAATTGATTAAATAGTTATTTTCCCTCATCAATCTACACATAATACCCCATAATGACAAAGCTAAAAATGGTTTGTAGAAATGTTTGCTAATTTATTAAATATACAAAACGGAAATATTACATTTACATAAGTATTCAGACCCTTTACTCAGTACTTTGTTGAAGCACCTTTGGCAGCGATTACAGCCTCAAGACTTCTTGGGTATGATGCTACAAGCTTGGCACATCTGTATTTGGGGAGTTTCTCCCAATCTTCTCTGCAGATCCTCTCAAGCTCTGTCAGGTTGGATGGGAAGCGTCGCTGCACAGCTATTTTCAGGTCTTTCCAGAGATGTTCGATTGGGTTCAAGTCCCGGCTCTGGCTGGGCCACTCAAGGACATTCAGAGACTTGTCCCGAAGCTACTCTTGCGTTGTCTTGGCTGTGTGCTTAGGGTTGTTGTCCTGTTGGAAGGTGAACCTTCACCCCAGTCTGAGGTCCTGGGCGCTCTGGAGCAGGTTTTCATCAAGGATCTCAATGTACTTTGCTCCGTTCATCTTTCCCTCGATCCTGACTAGTCTCCCTGTCCCTGCCGTTGAAAAACATCCCCACAGCATGATGCTGCCACCACCATGCTTCACCATAGGGATGGTTCCAGGTTTCTTCCAGACGTGACGCTTGGGATTCAGGCCAAAGAGTTAAATCTTGGTCTCAACAGACCAGAGAATCTTGTTTCTCAAGGTCTGAGATTCCTTTAGGTGCCTTTTGGCAAACTCCAAGCGGGCTGTCATATGCCTTTTACTGAGGAGTGGCTTCCTTCTGGCCACTCTATCATAAAGGCCTGATTGGTGGAGTGCTGCAGAGATGGTTGTCCTTCTGGAAGGTTCTCCCATCTCCACAATGGAACTCTGGAGCTCTGTCAGAGTGACCATCGGGTCACCTCCCTGACCAAGGTCCTTCTCCCCTGATTGCTCCGTTTGCCCAGGCAGCCAGCTCTAGGAAGAGTCTTGGTGGTTCCAAACATCTTACATTTGAGAATGATGGAGGCCACTGTGTTCTTGGGGACCTTTAATGCTGCAGAAATGTTTCGTACCATTCCCCAGATCTGTGCCTCCACACAATCCTGTCTCGAAGCTCTACGGACAATTCCTTCAACCTCATGGCTTGGTTTTTGCTCTGACGTTCACTGTCAACTGTGGGACCTTATATAGACAGGTGTGTGCCTTTCCAAATCATGTCCAATCAATTCAATTTACCACAGGTGGACATCTCAAGAATGATCAATGGAAACAGGATGCATCTGAGCTCAATTTCGAGTCTCATAGCAAAGGGTCTGAATACTTATGTAAATAAGGTATTGCTGTATTTTCTTTCTAAACATTTCTAAAACCTGTTTTCGCTTTGTCATTATGGGGTATTGTGTGTAGATTGATGAGGGGAAAAAATATTTAATCAATTTTAGAATAAGGCTGTAACGTAACAAAGTCAAGGGGTCTGAATACTTTCCGAATGCACTGTACATGCATGGACACAGACATGCAGATGGAGACGCTCTCTCACACACACACACACACACACACACACAGTCGGTCACTCAATTAAAAAACTGTCAAGGTAGAACAGTGTCACTCATGTTATGTCACAACTGTCATGTGTAGACTAAATGTGTAACACAGATATATAGTTGTCTGGATGTATTGTTTACCTGCGGAGCTGTTGTCCTCTACCTTGCTGACAAAGATGCTGAGGCCGTGCTCTGAGCCTCCACGCACGCTGAAGCCCAGCCTGCCGTCCACACTCTTATCCACTGTGACCGTATGGATGTCCTCACTGTCATCTCCACCTGAGAAACACGTCATAATCGATACAAATACTGCCAGCTAAACCCAGAGTGGAAATTCTGTTGTAAGTTTGATGAGTGATACTTTGATAATATCAGGGATCACAAAAAGGTACCTTTAGCCTATATGTCATATAACAGAGTCATACGGGGTTAATTTTATGCCACAATTTATAATCGTTCTTCAAAGAATATCCATTACATCAACAAAGTAATTTTTCCAGAGCTGAACACATTAAATAAGAAAATGAATTGTGCTTAACTTGGCTGTGTAGCAGTATATGGATTGTGATGAGGGGAGGCCTATACAGTGCCTTGCAAAAATATTCATCCCCCTTGGCGTTTTTCCTATTTTGTTGCATTACAACCTGTAATTTAAATACATTTTTATTTGGATTTCATGTTGGTGAAGTGAAATGAAAAAAATAACTTGTTTCAAAATATTCTAAAAAATAAATAACGGAAAAGTGGTGCGTGCATATGTATTCACCCCCTTTGCTATAAAGCCCCTAAATAAGATCTGGTGCAACCAATTACCTTCAGAAGTCACATAATGTCACGACTTCCGCAGAGGCTGCCTCCCCTCTTTGTTCGGGCAGGCTTCGGCGTTCGTCGTCACCGGCTTACTAACCACTGCCGCCCCAATTATCATCATCACATTTGTCTTGTCTTGTCAATCACACACACCTGGTTCTAATCCCCTCATTAGTCCGTGTATAAGTGTTCCCTCTGCCCCCTTGTCCTTGTGGGTGATTGTTTGAATGTGAGAGTAGTGTAGCTCGGTGGAGCTACTCATACCATTTTGTTGCCAGGGTAGACATTTCCCCTGTGCCTATGTATTGTATGGAGATACCGTTACAGTGTATTGCCAGGGTAGATAGTTTCCCCTGTGCCTGTTTCGTTTGTCGCTATTCCAGCGTATTTTGTGTAACGAAGGAATAAACTCTGTATTCAGTGATTACCCTCCTGCGCCTGACTCCTTCCATCACACTCATCACACATAATTAGTTAAATAAAGTCCACCTGTGTGCAATCTAAGTGTCACATGATCTGTCACATGATCTCAGTATATATACACCTGTTCTGAAAGGCCCCAGAGTCTGCAACACCACAAAGCAAGGGGCACCACCAAGCAAACGGCACCATGAAGACCAAAGAGCTCTCCAAACAGGTCAGGGACAAAGTTGTAGAGAAGTACAGATCAGGGTTGGGTTATAAAAAAATATCAGAAACTTTGAACATCCCATGGAGCACCATTAAATCCATTATTAAAAAATGGAAAGAATATGGCTTCACAACAAACCTGCCAAGAGAGGGCCGCCCACCAAAACTCACGGACCAGGCAAGGAGGGTATTAATCAGAGAGGCATCAAAGAGACCAAAGATAACCCTGAAGGAGCTGCAAAGCTCCACAGCGGAGATTGGAGTATCTGTCCATAGGACCACTTTAAGCCGTACACTCCACAGAGCTGGGCTTTATGGAAGAGTGGCCAGAAAAAAGCCATTGCTTAAAGAAAAAAATAAGCAAACACGTTTGGTGTTCGCCAAAAGGCATGTGGGAGACTCCCCAAACATATGGAAGAAGGTACTCTGGTCAGATGAGACTAAAATTGAGCTTTTAGGCCATCAAGGAAAACGCTATGTCTGGCGCAAACCCAACACCTCTCATCACCCTGAGAACACCATCCCCACAGTGAATTCTGGTGGTGGCAGCATCATGCTGTGGGGATGTTTTTTCATCGGCAGGGACTGGGAAACTGGTCAGAATTGAAGGAATGATGGATGGTGCTAAATACAGGGAAATTCAGTCTTCCAGAGATTTGAGACTGGGACGGAGGTTCACCTTCCAGCAGGACAATGACCCTAAGCATACTGCTAAAGCAACACTGGAGTGTTTTAAGGGGAAACATTTGAATGTCTTAGAATGGCCTAGTCAAAGCTCAGACCTCAATCCAATTGAGAATCTGTGGCATGACTTAAAGATTGCTGTACACCAGCGGAACCCATCCAACTTGAAGGAGCTGGAGCAGTTTTGCCTTGAAGAATGGGCAAAAATCCCAGTGGCTAGATGTGCCAAGCTTATAGAGACATACCCCAAGAGACTTGCAGCTGTAATTCCCGCAAAAAGTGGCTCTACAAAGTATTGACTTTGGGGGGTGAATAGCTATGCACACTCAAGTTTTCATTTTTTTTGTCTTATTTCTTATTTGTTTCACAATAAAAAATATTTTGCATCTTCAAAGTGGTAGGCATGTTGTGTAAATCAAATTATACAAACCTAAAAAAAGTATATTTTAATTCCAGGTTGTAAGGCAACAAAATAGGAAAAATGCCAAGGGGGGTGAATACTTTCGCAAGCCACTGTATGCCAGACACCGGTCATGCCTTAGAGGGCACGCTGATCTGATCTGAGCCAATCTCTGGTGTGGTGTATCAGAGGGCCCTCCTCACCGTCCACAGGAGAGTTGATGAGGATGACCCGGCCCATGGGGGAGGAGGATCGGATTCCACGGCGCTGCTGCTGCTTCCGAAGGAGGTGGCGCGTAGCCGTGCCTGACCCGGGGGTTGCGTCCCTGCGGGAGGGGTTTGACGAGTGAGCCATGGCCAGGAGCGGGGTCCTCTTTCACACACTCCTTCAGGGGCTCAGCGCTGGATGGAGAAGCCTAGAACAGAAGGAGATGTAGGCTCAGGTTTGATGAAACCAGATAGCAGTGCAATTCAATGGCTTGGAATTTTCATAAATGCATGCACGAAGCCAGAGCATAAACTACCATAATTTGGCCCAAAAACGATGTAACAGAATATCTTGGCATGATTGAGTAGCATGGTAACTCACCAGTGCAGATGGGTGGTTTGTGACATGTTGGCAGACCGTCTGCCTCCCTGGACTCACACTCTGGTCCATTCCTGGCCATGGTGAATCTCACTCCCCCACCTAACACCATGAGAAACACAGACCTGTCCAGTGCATGCAGTAAGTCAGATATCATGCAGGGTCAGATACCTCATCCAATTGAATAACCAACCAAATGTTATGTGCAAACTGATAAGGATACATGTCACTCAATTATTTCCAAACATGCTGCAATTTCCTCAATCATAGCACTTTGGGCAATGATGAACGGCTGAGTTCTTTTTGATAACAGTTTCTTGAGCTTACTTTCATCAACCTGCCTGACCCAATTACAGACACGATGTCACATGCTTTCGATGCCATGGATACCTTGGACTAAACTTAACCCAATGCGTGATAAGCCCGGTGTCGTCATGAAGGAGGATTTCCCCCATGCGCCTAGTAAGGCTTGTCAGGACCTTGGACAGCGACGTTGAACTAACTTTGCCTAAATAGAATGCACTGTTGCCAACATTATGTTAGTAAAGCATCCAAACTACTGGCATGTAAAGTAGGCCGGCTTTAAAGCACACTTTCCTTATTATTATATTTTTTATTAGAACTAATGCGTACCTTATCTGCGTAGTTCGTCAACAACAGCAACAGCCTGGGAGCTGTACAATAGCCTACCGTGGCATGTCTTGCCATTTCTATATAGTCTAATTAAAATACATAAATTAAATAAATAAACCGCTCCGACAAACTGAATGGTACGGCTAATAAATACATTTATAAAAACTAAAGCCTTGATAATGTGCAGATATTCACATTACAGCACCATTGCACCAACGGGTATGAAGACAACAATGACTGACTACTAAGTTACTGGAAGGTGAAACATTAATTCGCAAGGAAAATTGGACTGCATATAGATATTCTAGGAGAAACAAGCTATTGTTTTAACCGTATTTTAAAGTTTTAACATTACCTTTGTTCATGTTGTGTTGAATGACCTCGCTCACCTGGGAAATGCAGTAAGCTAACGAAGTCCCGCCCTCTACAGCAATGTGATTGGATGTCTTTATTTTGACTGGGACACAAAACTGCTTTCAGATTGGCTGCTGAACCTGCTCATCGTTCCTCTGAGTAGAAAATACAGGTAGGCTACTCATGGCAAATGGGCATACTATAGCCTACTTTTATGAGCCATATTTTTATATAAGCCATAATGATCCATTTAGATATCAAATAAAGGTATTTGATCAAATCCACTGTCTTGACATAACAGCAGTCTTCATTGTGCCTTTTTTTTACATTGTCTAAATGATACTCCAGTGGAGACATTACACAAAGGGCTCAGTTTATTGTCTGTGAGGGTATACAGTACAATGCAACACAATTGTATCAGCCTGTCTGTTATGAGCTGGTTGGAGTGATGAAACTGAGTGTAATGCATCAGGTCTGATCCCTCAACAATTTAGACACAGACCATCATTAACACACTCACAGAACCACAACACCATCAGCACTAGACATATCTGAACATAGCGAAATGACTTGGGCTTGTGCCACACACCCTTACTGAACACTGAGGTCAAAATAGATCTATATACTTCAATTATGTTTTCTTAGTATAAGAAGTAGACGGTTTTCTTAGATTCTGTGTATTGTTGAAGTCTTTGCTTTGCCTACCATACATACACTGAACACATTTTTTAACGCAACATGTAAAGTGTTGGTCCCAGGTTTCATGAGCTGAAATAAAAGATTTGCACAAAAAGCTTATTTCTCTCAAATGTTGTGCACAAATTTGTTTACATACCTGTTAGTGAGCATTTATCCTTTGTCAAGATAATCCATCACCTGACAGGTGTGGCATATCAAGAAGCTGATTAAACAGCATGATCATTACACAGGTTCACCTTGTGCTGGGGACAATAAAAGGTCACTAAAATGTGTAGTTTTGTCACAACACAATGCCACAGTCATGTGAAATCCCTAGATTAGTGTCTAATGAATTTATTTAAATTGATTGATTTCGTCATATGAACAGTTAAATCTTTGAAATTGTTGCATGTTGCATTTATATTTTTGTTCAGTATACAATTAGTTTGTGACATACAGTACATGTACACCACTTCTGAGGCCTTCACTTCACCACCATCTTTCAATATCCAATCTATTTCCCCTTCTTGATCTTCTTTGCCGCCTGCAGGACAGCGGGAAGGTCAGCTTTGTCCCCAAACTCCTTCTCCCGGTGCTCCAGCAGAATACCCTTCAGAATAACACACACGCCATTTAAAATGTATATGATTCACTAAAAACAAAATGTAAACTCATATGATGAAACCAGTAGGGGAAATGAGGAACTTACCTGTTTCCCTGCTCCAATCACATAAACACCACCGAGGATGAAACCCTCCCCCTTCTTGTTACCCTGGTAACCCTTCTTCCTGGCTTGAAGGAGGTTCTGCCACACCCCCAGACGAGCCAGACCAAGACCCAGTCCCATCCTCCTCGGCTTGGGACCATAGAAACATTGCTGTAAAAGACAACTTCCTATCATTAGTCTTTCTCACATTACCTGACTGGAGAAAAGTTCAGCGAATATAACTGAACTTTAAAAAAACATTTCAAAAAAAAATCTGACCTTCTCATCCACAAAAATCTCCCCATTGAAGTAGGGTCTGAAGTTCTGGATCTCTGTGCCGATGTCCTCCTTCACTACGGCATACAGAGGGACCCCAAGCTCCTCCAGCTGGGGCTTCAGAGAGGACAGCTCAGAGGCCTCCTGGAGGATGAGTATATGCGCACAATTCATGAGTATACACAGCCACATATACAGCATGCATACACACTCATACCCCTACAAATATACTGTACCTCTCTGCATAAGGATCATCCGGGGCGCCTCACAGCCATGAGTACTGCACCAGTCTTTTCCCACAGACTCCTGGCTTTAACAGTCTTATCTGCAGAGACACAACCAACAATATTGCATACAATAGTAAGAAGATTTCAGGTGTATAGACGTTACATAATTAAATTGACACCGGCACTGAATCAAAGACCACTATCCTGCTGGGTGATTATTCTAGAAGTGCTTTTCCATTGAAAGCAAGATCAGCTAATGAAAATGAATCAGTACAGTTTTTGTTTTGGTCTCACCGGCTGCGGGTGTTGATTGGAGCTCCATGTTCTCCAAGTGCTCCAGAGTGGACGGGGCTGACTTGGTCAGGAACAGGTCAGTGTTGGCCAAGATAAGGCCAGCCAGCCAGGCAACCAGCAGCCAGAGGCCCACAGACCATACACTGAGGGACAGGAGCTCCCCCTCCAGGAGGAAAGGCAGCACTGTAGGGAGAGACAAAACTGATTAAAAAAGGTCCAATGCAGCCGTTTTTATCTCTACAACAAATAATTTCTGGGTGACTTTTAAGTACCTTACTGTGATTGTTTTCAATGAAAAAGGTCAAAAAGAAACAAAAATAGCTTCTTAGCAAAGGACAATTTCTCAAACAAGATTTTTGCTAGGACTGTCTGGGAGTGGTCTGAGTGGAAAACAGAAAATTAGCTATCATTGGCAGAGAGGATTAGAACTCTTTCTTATTTGTCTATTAACTAATGTACTGCATGGTGATGTCACCATGGAAAGCCAAAACTCAATCCCACCAAAACAGGCTGAAATTTCAGGCAGTCTTTTCAAACAGCTCGTACACTAAAATAGCATTATAATTTTCACAATGTCACAGTTTATTCAAACCTCAGTCTGGATATATAAAAAACACAGGAAAATCATGTTTTTGACTGCACTGGGCCTTTAACACACCAAAGCCCCATTAATTTTCTCTGCCTTGTCATTGACCACATTTACATGCACATAGTATTACGGATAGTAGCTCATATCCCACTTAAGGTCCTATTCGGAATAAGCTGTTTACATGCAACTTTGATATCCCGCTCACGTGTATCCCTGTAGCCATGAATGAACAGAATATTCCTCATTTAAGTTCATAGGGGTTAAATGGAATAGTAACTGAAATATGGACACTGACTGTAGGCCTATAACCTCGCACATGTAGCGTGATATAATATTAACTCCTGCAGTATTATGCATTTCTTGCAGTAAAATGATACAACTGGAAAAACATGATTTCTTTCTTTCAGCATCTCTTGAGAAAATGAGAATGTGTGTGTAATATGTTATCTTTTACACTTATTTTTATTAATTTGTATATATTTTTTCTCAACTATATACACATAAAATATGCACCCAAGACAAAGTTAGGTCTTACACTACATGACCAAAAGTATGTGGACATCTGCTCGTCAAACATCTCATTCCAAAATCATGGGCATTAATATGGAGTTGGTCCCCCCCTTTACTGCTAAAACAGCCTCCACTGTTCTGGGAAGGCTTTCCACTAGATGTTGGAACATTGCTGCGGGGACTTGTTTCCATTCAGCCACAAGAGCATTAGTGAGCTTGGGCAATGATGTTAGGCGATTAGGCCTGGCTCGCAGTGATGTTGGGCGATTAGGCCTGGCTCGCAGTCGGCGTTCCAATTCATCCCAAAGGTGTTCGATGGGGTTGAGGTCAGGGCTCTGTGCAGGCCAGTCAAGTTCTTCCACACCGATCGCAACTAACAATTTATGTATGGATCTCGCTTTGTGCACGGGGGCATTGTCATGCTGAAACAGGAAAGGGCCTTCCCCAAACTGTTGCCACAATGTTGGAAGCGTTAAGATCTCCCTTCACTGGAGCTAAGGGGCCTTGCCCGAACCATGAAAAACAGCCCCAGACCATTACTCCTCCACCAAACTTTACAGTTGGCACTATGCATTGGGGCAGATAGCCAAACCCAGATTAGTCCGTCGGACTACCAGATGGTGAAGCATAATTCATCCCTCCAGAGAATGCGTTTCCACTGCTCCAGAGTCCAAAGGCGGCGAGCTTTACACCACTCCAGCCGACGCTTGGTATTGCGCATGGTGATCTTAGGCTTGTGTGTGGCTGCTCGGTCATTTCATGAAGCTCCCGCCAAACAGTTCGTGCTTGTTGCTTCCTACTGTATTTAGTATTCTGGGGCAACAAGTTAGGCTATGACAAAAAAATTATGCATGCATCTACCTATAGTTGACAAATGGCCTACCAAAAGTTGGAAATTATATGCAGAAATGTAGGGGTGAAAGTAGCCAAATCACTTTTTGAAGTCTAAGATCAGCATATCCCAGGTATCTTATCTGGGTTTCTCATAGCCGGGATACAACCTTTTTTTTGTGAGCATTTCAATACACCTGTTGAATTCGGCGCATGTGACAAAAAAAGGGGTATCTTCAGTAGATAGACCAAACATTTTTGGGGGAACAAGATCAAGTGTGGAAATGAACGGCGGTTTCATGTCAAAGGTAATGTTCTGATACTTAAAGCCTGACTAGCTCCGGTAAAACTCCTGAAGACCCCTCCCCCTTCATTCTGCAACAGTACATTTTATTCCTAACTATGAGGAGCCACGGTGTAGCCTTTGCAGTGGTTGATTCAAGGGCACATTGTGTCCCAGCCATGACTCAGTTCTGATAAGGCTCCAATTGTATTATCACATCACATTCAGTCGTCTCAGACGAGGTCACGGATAATGTGAACATTTCTGATAAGACCTGTTTCACAATCCCCCTCGATATTGGCGGACACTCACTGCTACATTTTGTAAGCTGTAGAAACAATCTTATGACTAAGTGTAACATTGCACATTTAATAGATACTAAAAACAGCCTGCTTCAGGACAGGGATGTTAAACAATATTTAGATCAAACCAGATGAGTTTATTATAAAGGCAGTTAACATTTCTGCTTATCACAGATGTTCTTTGGGCAATAGCAAAACAGAGCAAGGTTATTTTGGGAGGTGGGTCAAAGTCGAACAAAAACAGTTACATGTGTTTGCCACTAGTAATAGACCCTACTCACTAACCATATACAATTCAGTGTGGCATCTGATGTACAAGTTGCAGACTCAAGGTCAAAAGTTGAGTGATGATTGATTCCACCATTTACAATGTATAAAAATCCCTGTATGGACAGTCACTGAGTCAACTTGTTTACCTCTCAATAGTATTGAAAATAAGTTTACATGCATTAAGTATAACATTGTTAAGTCCTAAGAGACAAAAGAATACCAACTTGTTGCTGTAGTTTTCCCAGGACATAGAACAATAGATAGGACATGCAGTGTTGCTCCCATTGAGTAAGTTCCCGTCGTCTGTCCAACAGTGTAAAGTCTGGATGTTACACACACACACACCCTATACTCACCACTTAAAAACAGGAGGTTGCCAGAGGGGGTCATTTGAATGATAGAGGATTCAGCCAATCACAGCCCTCACACATAAAATATAACTGACTTTGGTGCCTAGAGCTATCCAAGGTCTTACTAAAACAGTCAAGACATTAAGAAACACAAACACTGGAAACTTAACTTTATTTAATTGTAGTTTGCCAATAAAACCAAACGTGTCGGTTTAACAACACACAATGAAAACAGACTTCGTGAGTAGTCAATATGGTAGAATTAGAGATACAAATTATGAAGTGGACATTTGAAAACCTGTCAAGTCAATCATTAACCTCACCAGAGAAAAGAGAGCAGAGGGGTACTGATGCATAATGAGCTCTTTATTGTCAAATAGAGGTCTTTCAGGTCCTCGGGTAGCCTGTCTATCGACTGTAAATGGGAGATGAGTGTAATGCATCAAGTCTGGTCCCTCCACAGAGTTTAGACACAGACCATCATAAGCACACTCACACAGCCCAACAAATCAGCAGGACGAGACCCAGGAGATCCCAGAGAGAACACTGCAACTACGAACAAGACGTCATCTACCCACCCTTTCTACATCCTAAATTGGGTGGAATTTGTGGTTTCAGTTTCTATCAAAGGCACATTACTTCTCCAAAGACACAAGTTCAGTTTGTACTTTTCTGGCAGCTTTCAGGACATCCATAATGTTGACCTTATCCCCGAACTCCATCTCCCGGTGCTCCAGCAGTATACCCTGCAGATGACAGCAAAAAAATATATATATAGATATTCGCTTTGGTTGTGCCATTTGATTCATTTAGCCAGCATTTCCCCGAAAACTCTTATTTTACCATCCATGCTATCAGTAAGTGAGATGGCGGAGTGAGTATTTCCTGAAAAGACCTACCTGCTGGCCTGCTCCAATGACGAACACCCCACCTAGCACTAAGCCCTCTCCAAACACATTTCCTAAGAAGCCATTCTTGAAGGCACGCAGGCCATTCATCCACACGCCCAGACGGAGGAACGCCAACAGACCCATCTTCCGCTCACGGGGCCCGTAGAAACATCTCTGAAAGACAGAACAGAAGGCTTTGGCATTTCAACAAATTGCAATAATCATGACCGATTAGATAGGGTGTTGCATAAATTACTAGTTTTGAGACGTGAACCACAATGGTGCTCATTGAACAAGAGGATTCATTTCCTATAAATTAGACTGGGAAACCCAGCCTATGCACCTTCGCATCCATGAAGATCGCCCCATTGAAGTAGGGTCTGAAGTTCTGGATCTCTGTGCCAATGTCCTCCTTCACCACGGCGTACAAAGGGACCCCGAGCTCCTCCAGCTGGGGCTTCAGAGAGGACAGCTCAGCGGCCTCCTGGAGGATGACAACATATGCAGTTTGCCAAATGACAGACATAGGGCCTAGATCAGACCACAGGTCAAAAGATTTGAGTTACAGCTGAGTGTTGATTCTAGGGCACTTAACCATAATTTGCACCAGGGGGCACCATACTACTGTGGCCCTGTAAAACACCACATTTCACTGCAGCTATCCGGTGTATGTGACAAAACAAATGAAGTATTATTTGAGTCAGAGGCATCAACACCAGTGTTTTTACGACTGTTGAGTTAATTTCCGTTAACTCAGAGTGAAAGACATGGGAGGTGTCTCATATCCTAGCATACTCGGTTGTAGGTTGATTTTTAGAATAGTTTGTTTTAATATCCATGTTTCTGCACACATTAATTGATCTTAAATATAAAACAATTCTCTAAACTAATCCAATCTGTAAGGGGTTATACTAATTTCACCTGTTATTGAGATGGTTGTTTCAGTTTAGATGGTTAAGGTTAATCTCATTTATCAATCTTCCTTACCTTGGCAGTCACTAACTGCATATTGCAGGTGATTAAAAGTTCAAATTGTTGGATCTCCTAACTCTGGCTGGATTCCAATAGGAATTGTATAACACTTTGCAAGCCAACATAATGTGATTTGCCAATGTGGCCTACAAACCACTTAAACAAATGCATAAATAATTAAATGTTTATGATAAAATATTCAATTATGTACCCACTTGGTGAAGGCTACAGGACTGAAAGCCATCAAACGCAACAATCATGTCTGTCACTAGCAAACAGTTATGGTGGTACTGGTACCTCAAATTCACTCAAAAGACATCCTGGGAAATAAATACGCAAATAAGGCTTTACACAGCAACATGTGTTACTTCTCAAATAAAATGTTTATAAGGGCAAAGGTAAATAGTGACTCAAAGCTATACCTCTCTGCACAAAAATCATCCAGGCCGCCTTACAGCCATGATAACTGCTCCAGACTTCTCCCATAGTCTTTTGGCCTTCAAAGGCTTACGCTCTAAATCAAGAAAAGAAAAAAGTTGTAAGGTTAAAATTAAGCAAATATAGGTCACGGGTTGCCTGGAAACCTGATGTTACCGGGCAGAATTTAGCATTTGAGTCAGGAATGTTTCCTCTGAAGAACTCTACAAGCCAGAATGTTGAATAAAATGATATTTGAACATACTTCACCGGTTGTCCGTGCAGTTGGTCCTTTTGGCGGTAGGAATGGGAGAGTATAATTAAAATCAGTAAAGTATAATTAAATCAACCGCCAAAAGGACCAACTGCACAGACAACCGGTAAAGTAAGTTAAAATATAATTGTATTCAATATTCTGGCTTGTAGAGTCCATGATGGGACATTTTCCTGATTTAAAAAATGCCATTTACTGCCCGATTCAACATCAGGTTTCCAGGCAACGTCAAGGCTGCTTCAGTCCAGATAGGCCTAGGGGGAAAACTGCAATTTTCACCAATACGGTCTATAACCATCCATTGGACACCAATACATTAGATAACAATACGTTTAGAAAGTACTTTACAAACCTACCTCCTTTCAATGGTTTGAGGTCAGTCTCCTCTAAATATTTGAGGGTGGCCCTCGATGGCTGAGTCAAAAACAAGTCGCTGAAAGAGCGCAAACCGGTAGCGATTAAGGCAACAACTGCGCCCAATGATTGGACCACAACATCCATCACAAAAGTTAACTTTGTATCGAAATTGGGAAGGAAAACAATTCACTCTTGGCCCATATTGAAGTGAACACGCTCAACAATGGTAGTACGCCACAAACTGTGGAGGCACGCGGTCAACCCTTGGCATAGATTGGCCACTTATGACTCACACGTTGCAGGCTGGGTTTAAATCCCCGAAGAATTAAATCCAGCCCAATAGTTAACCAAACATTGTTTTGATATTTCACAAGTGATTTCGAAAGTACCTAGATAAATGTTATGTGAGCTTGAGCTATCCTGTCGCTGTCTCGCCAGCAAAGTGATTGGATTGATGCCGCACAGATGTTGCGTTAAAGCTGCAATTCGACAGGCAGCCCAATACTGATCATTTTTTTCACTTATTCGTCTTTTGCCCAATCAGATCAGCTCTGAAAAATAGCTGACGTGAAAATATCTGATGTGATTGGTAAAATACCAATTAGTGGAAAATTTTCAGAATTGGGCTGCCTGTCTCAATGCAGCCTCAGAGTGGCGCCCTCACTATCAACCATGTTGCACATCAATCTGTAGCGTTCAAAGAGCACATGAGAAGCTGATAATATCTACAGTATCCTGCCTATTGCCATAGTTTTTCTAACTACAGGAACCAGAAAAATAATCATCACAACAATTAAACATTTGACTGCTTAAAAAATGCCATTCATAATAAAATACAATTGGAAGCACAAAGTACAAATGTATTGCACAGATGTATTCATAGCAAACTGAATAGACATATTACACAAATTGAGATATATCCCCCTCTTGGAGACATCATGCATTTAATTAGGCGTTAGTCAAGCTTCTCTACTGATTTCTCAGATGTAGAATGTTATAACATATATATCTTTAGGCTATTGTTGCATTTGAACAAACTTCTTTGTCCAGATAATGTCATGTAGGAAAATTATCATTCCACATCTTAGTCGTCCTCCTCTTCCTCCTCTTCCTCCTGAAAAACAGAACTGGGTTTAGATGTAACTGATAGGCTACAGATTTGTTAAATTACTATAAACCTGTTTAAACCTGTATTCCTTGGTCATTCACTCTTGAGTATAATGTCTTCTTATATTATGCATGATATCATTGTAGTTGAACAGTTTAAATGTCTCTCGAAACAAAAGCCTTCTCTGTGTTAACCTTCTCCTTGGCTTGGTCATCAGGAGTTGTATGTTCAAGTGCCCCCCATGACGTCTCCACTCCCTCCTCCGCTCCCTCCTCCACTCCCTCCTCAGATTGCGTCACATCGGGTCTGACATCATCACTCTCTGAGGCTGCCACTTCTTGTGTGAGATCAATAGCGTCACTTGTGACAGGGTTATCGGTCTCCTATGTTGAGTTTGTCAAAGGGAAACTGGTTGAGTAATAAAACATGTTTTAAGCCTGCCTCTCTCATTTTGTGGGTATCCCTCCTCTGACATCACATGCAATACCTCCTTCTCCTCTGATATTCTGATCCCTATCTGTTAACTCTTGGCTGACTGAACACCTCACAACACCTTCCTCCTTCAGACTTGACTCCTCATTCTGTCTTGTCTAGACATATTTTATTTTCTTCTCTGGCACTCATTTCACCATGATCTTTCCTCTCTCCTTTCCTGGTTTGTCATCCCTTCCTTTTGTCTTTCCTTCTCTGAATGAATTATATTTTGTCAATTGCTATGTCTTTGGGTAAAAACAGAAGATAGACATCCTCAGCATATCTCTAAAAATACAAATACATAATCATTTTAATATGTCTTGGGTGTGTCACATGAAGCCATCACCTTCTCTTGGTCCTGATGTTCCTGTCCCTCCTCAGACAGAGTCTCGTCTGGTTTGACATCATCATTCTCTGGTCCTGAGGTTGGCTCTACTTGTGTAGAATCAGCAGGTTCACTAGTTTCAGGTTTATCAGGTTCATCAGTCACCTGGTGAAAATGTTTTAGGAAGAAAAATGGCTGGGTTCAGTTCACAATGTACTTATTCTCCCTCGTCTTCTGGTGTTTCTTTGCTGATGGCAGTCCCCTAAATGTGCGATACTAGTGTGACTGTCTGGTTAAAAATGTCCTCACTGCATCTCAAAGGAAGATCTTTTTTTCGGGTTGATTATTCTGCTTTCCTGCTTTTTTTATTCTTGCTCCTACTATCTTTTCTATCATTCAGTCAAGAAAACAACACTGACTGTTTCCCAAGTCCCAATGACTTGTCTTATTTTCAATAATCTATCATCTTTACTGTGAACTTGTCCAATGTATCCCTTCTGTCTTGTCTAGACATTCTTCCCTCTCTTGTCTGGCACATATTTCACCATGTTCTTTACCATCTCTTTTTCTAGTTTGTTATTTCTCATGTCCCTTGTTTCAATCTTTGTTTGGTATAAGCCATCAACTTTTCTTGGTCTTGATGAAGAGGTTTGTGTTTGTCTTGTGGATCCTCAGTTTGTCCCCCCTCATCATTCTCTGGTGCTGAGATTGACTCTGCCTCTATTTGTGTACACTCATCAGGTTCACTGGTTTCAGGTTGATCAGTCAACTGGTGACCAGTTTGTGAGACAAAACAATATTAGAATCATTGCAGCCATTCATCCACATCTGTAGTTCCTGAGTGGCGCAGTGGTCTAAGGCACTGCATCGCAGTGCTAACTGTGCCACTAGAGATCCTGGCTCGAATCCAGGCTCTGTCGCAGCCGGCCGCGACCGGGAGACTCATGGGCGGCGCACAAGTCGTCCAGGGTAGGGGAGGGAATGGCCGGCAGGGATGTAGCTCAGTTGATAGAGCATGGTGTTTGCAACACCAGGGTTGTGGGTTCGATTCCCACGGGGGGCCAGTATAAAAAAAATATGTATTCACTAACTGTAAGTCGCTCTGGATAAGAGTGTCTGCTAAATGACTAAAATGTAAATGTAGATTTCTAGTCCTTCAGCTCTAGCCTGCACGTCTAGCCTTTCTGAATCTAATTTATTAACCTCAGGGAGAGGGCAAGCCATGCAAAGAATGTGCAGAAGCAGTCACCATCAGCCAAAGGACAGAACTGGAAAAGCCCTCGGATGATTGATAGATTAATTATTAATGACTAATTATTACACCCTGAAACAGTGTGAAATGTGTTAGAATGTGTGAGTATAGGACCAGTAAAGACTATGACATTGAGCTACTATTTAGCAATGTGAGTAAGAGTTAGACCAGACAACAAAGGACAAGGAGAACTGTCTACAGGCAACTGAGAAACCAAGATAACTGAGGAATTTAGGGAGGAGAGATACTGTTAGGCTTGGAAGAGTGTATGTATGTGTGTGTGTGAACTGATGGTCAGGAGAGCAGTTTTAAAGTGGAAAACTACAGCCCGCCTAAAGAGGGGAGGGATCTTCATATGACCTGTGCGTATAAAAATATTGTACGACCATTTGGTGGCTGAATTCTCAATGAATAAATCTCTGACTATGCAGACCGGGACTCTGTCCGTTTCTTAAATCCCAAAAGACTTACAACCTTTTGGGAGATGCACAGAGACACTGAAATAGTTTGTTAAATAATTCACGTAACAATGATACAGAGAGGTGCGAAATAAATGGTGACCTAGAGAGGATAGTGTAGCAACCACCAAAGGCACACAGATTTTAGCGGAGTATTCTTGAGATCTGGGACTGATGTCACCTCCTGTTTGGTGTTATCTTTGTCTTGAATGTCTTCAGTGGCCTGCTCATTTTCAGAGGTGGAGGTGGTGGGTACTTCTGATTTCAATGGCTCATTCTCCATGACACCTTGCGATATGACCCTGGTGGTCTGACTCTGACCAGACCCTGTAGGCTCCTCTTGAAATATCTGATGATGTGTTGATGAGATTAAACCCTGGACGATAAAATTCTCAACTCTCTCTACTGATGGCTGATAATAATCTATATTTCAAAATGCAGTTGAAGCTCTCTGTGTGCTACAGTAGGCTCCTCCCACTTGTGAACATCTAGTCAAAACATGGATATTCTAAGGAGATATTACTAATTTGGTTTGTTTCCTTACCATTTTGAGATTACACTGGGCTTATTATGTTAAATCTAATATAAGACTACCAACATTTATAAGACATCACAGATTCCCTGATATTAAGCATACACAAAAACATACAATTTGTTTTGAAAACAAAATATGAAAATGTTATAAATGAGGAAGTCTTAAAATTCTACAAAAACCATACCCAATCATCGCCCTCCTCCACTGCAGCAAGTGTTGGAGGGTTTAATTTCTTGGCCCTTTCTGAAACTGGAGCTGGTGGAGGGGTTGCAGGTAGTCCCTCAGCTTTCTGAAAAGATAACAACACAATTTAAATCCTCATGGGCTTTAAATCGTACACACACACACACACACACAGGGCTGGTCCTTGCCGTGCTGCCGCCCTGTGCGAGACCCAAAAATGCAGCCCTGTGTCCCAGTAAGCAAAATGACATTGAAAAGATGTCTAAAATACGTATTTTCCAGATGTTGAAGTTAGGTTCAATTTAGGTTCTGAATGAAAGTTGAAAAGGTATTTTCCATATGTTTCAAATACATATTTTCCAGGACGTTGAAAAGGCATCTTTTCCGGATGTTAAAAAATACGTATTTTCCAGACGTTGAAATCAGGTTCATTTTCGGTTCTGAATGAAAGTTGAAAATACTTATTTTCCGGATGTTGAAAATACATATTTTCCAGACGTTGAAAATATGTATTTTCCGGATGTTGAAATCAGGTACATTTTTGGTTGTGAATGAAAGTTTAAAATAAGTAATTTATAGACGTCTACGTTTGGGCCAAATCAAGGCTGGTCCAGACCGCACCAAATCTGAACCAAACATAGACGTTTATGATTGGTTCAGACCGGACCAAAAACCAATGTCTGTGGATGTGGAAATCAAGGCCAGTCCGGACTGCACCAAAAAAAGATGTCCAAAAGGCATCAGCGTCAGTCCGTGCTTACTGAGGTGTAGCCTACAGTGTTGACTGAAATTTAATTTTATGAATGCCCATCTATGTGGTAAGTCTACCGTTTGTAAAACACAAAAAAAAGACATCCGGTGCGGACAGGACCAAAAAATTAAGTCCAAATGACATCGGCTCACTGGGGTGTAGCCTACCATGTCGGTCTGCAATGGAATTGTATGAATGCCCATCCATGTGGTAGGCCCACCGTTTGTAAAACAGGCCGTAGCATTGGCTTTATTAGTCCTGATTCGTGTGACTAATACATTAGGCTATTTAAGCTCTGAATATCAGCTACCCAACTTTATCAGGAGTTATCGTGAGCCTATTTGCAATGTGTTTACACAGCGGAAAATGCAGAAGTATTTTCTATTTCGCTATGATCAGCTTTTCAAAAATGTATGGATACAAACTTGAAACCACTGATCATGACAATGGGGTGAAACTCCTGGACAACAGTTGTGATTGTCTATTCAATATTGTCCATTTTACTTTGACCTGTCCTGTTTTTAGGATATGTTGTTTGTTAACATGACAGGTCATTTTTTATTTGATTGAGCGCCATTTAGGTTCAGCTATTTGATCGGAGAAACCTGCATGATGTAAAATGTGTCCATCTCATTACATTGTCATACATTTTATCTCCAGCCTGTAGAGACGCGCTTGGAATGGACAAGCAAAATATTTTGCGCCCCTGCCTTTGACAAAGTGGGCACTGCTTATCAGGGCAGCATCAGCACTCACCTAAAAAGCCCATATGTCACTGGTTGAGAGAAATTGTAATTGTCTTTGGGCAGAATTATGTGAGGTTTTATGTGTTGTTGTTGGAGGTGCGTCTTGATCCGCCCAATCCTGTCTAATGAACGGGCCGGCCGTGCACACACACACAATACATACTTTTGTTTCTTTGGGTTCTTCTGGGACTTCCCCTGTGATTTTATATTCTTCCTCCTTCATCTGCCTCATGTGCACTGCATCATCTATGGCTTTCTGCTGCTCCTGCTCCAGTTGGTGCTGGAGGGCCTTTTTCTGAAATGATCGGAGATATTCCAATAATATCACAATACTAGCCTAATAATAGTATATTCAAGTGTTTTATAGTCCGGTTATCTACCAACATTGGATGACAGTATAGGCTCAGAAAAGTATACATTGACATAGTTAATCAAATCAAATTGTATTTGTCACATGCGGCGAATACAACACTTATCCAGTTTATTGACATTGTGGATTTACCGTGAAATGCTTATTTACAAGCCCTTAACCAACAATGCAGTTTTAAGAAAAATAAGAGTTCAGAAAAATATTTACTAAATAAACTAAAGCACCACCACATACCAAAGATCACGTCTGGATGAGATTGCCTAGACAACATTTGGGTATAGGCTGCCCCACATTGGCAATAGGCTGAACATCATTACTCACTCTCTCCTCATTGTCCATGTTTTCTTTATACTTGTAAATCCACTGTGCAAGAAATTCGATCGGGTCCATGGGGCGAAGCTCGGCCACCTCGGCTAATCCTTCTATAAGACATTTTCCCATACCCCTTTTCAAGTATTCTGAGTCCATTTTCCTGTATGCAAGAAAATGCCATAATGTATGAACACAATAGCTACACATGTCTTACAGCTAAGACAACAGGGGTACAACATATTTTCTACTTTATTTTTTACATTTAGCTCAAGCGTTACTTGTTACGTCGTTACGCTAGCTATCAAACCTATGAACAATAAAACAAGGTTTCCAGTGTAAAACGTTCCTATTTGTTTGTAAATACTTTGCAAACAAAATGTGTCGACAGAAAAGACCATTGTTACTTAAATGTTACTATTTTATAATAGGATAAACTGACTCTAAATATAATTATTTTGAAACCAGACCCACCTGTCTTTTTCGTTCAGAGCGTCCGGATATGTATTTTATCTCCATGGTAACGGTGCTACTTCATAAATCTTCCCTCCAATTTTGCTGAGAAGGTTCCGTTTTGTGCTAAGAAGTAGAGCATGCAAAGATGTACCACGTGCATTTTATTTCTGTTTTTTAAATATAGACTATAATTTCATTGAAATTACATAAAATGTGTACCAGATAATACGTCTGTATTTCAACCCATTTACACTTCCATTATGGTTTTTATAGGCCTGTGTGAACTAAATAATTCCATAACTAATTGAAATAGAAAAAGGTTTGCTAGGTATCTTATACATTTTGTTCTATATGGAGTTAGGGCGCATGCTACAGTATTTACCCACTCAGCTATGACCATACAGCTGTAAATTAGGGCAGGGAATCCATAGAATTAGGAATTAGAATAATTATTGAATAATAATTAGTAATTTAATAAGATCTGGAAGTCAGTGATTTGGGTTGCTATGATGTTTCAGTTGCTCGTCTGGGGTCATTAAGTTTGAAACACACACACAAACACATTTTTCACTGCACTCAGCAGAGATAGGGTTTGTGATGTTTATCAATAATCCGATGCTTTTGTTTTGGTTGTGACATATTTTAGGGTTTAGGGTTCATGAAACTAGAGATTGTCAGGGTCACACACATCGGTGAGATATACCGGGATCCACCAACACACCCTGCACATTCCCCCATAATTGCTGGGGAGGAAAGGGGATCTCAGCCCTACGCACGCTGCCGCTGCTTAGCGGTCACACCAGCAATCATCTCACCAACACCTGACACAGATCCCCAAGCACCACCACATACCAAAGAGTACGTCTGGATGAGGACATTTTAATTGGAAAGGTTAGCACTAATAACAGGAAATTGTAGGCTATTGAACACTTTATTAATATTGCAACACCACTTCAATAAGACTGTTGCATCCATGATTATATTTCTAGTGTAGTCCACACAGGATGGATACCATGGGACAGTTCATATTTGAGAAGCTCATGTTCAAGTATGTCTTACTTTTCACACTTTGGAAGCCCTTGGAGGCTAAAATATTAATATAGGCCTATACCATTTAGGTCCACGGTATAGTGTAAAATCAAGACCCACTTTAATTGGGCTGTTGGATAACTTGGCAGGAAAGTTGATTATATACACCTAGAGCGAGAGTCATTGTCCTTTGGTTTGACCTCTGTCTGAACTCTGACCCCACTCTGTGTTGTCGTTACAGTATGGGGCCAGGGTCAGCGATGTCTTGTAGTAGACAGGATGACAAGAAAATTAACTCAGACTTGTTACATTTTTTAAGAAACAAGCAATGCTTTATCCATAACACTTCTTGTCCATTCTAAAAAATACCTGTAAATAATTTGATGGTTCATCGTTTAATGCTCAACTGAATGCATTGCATCATGCGGGATAGTGCCTTCTCGTTTCAATCAGGCATGTCTTCATTAGAAAGCCTGGATTCCAGCAGCTACTGCCAGTGCTGGGCTTATAACTCTAACGGTCTGCCTCTGTGTACACAGGCACAGTGATCCCGCCAGGAAAGTGAGGGGCCCCTTGTGACAAAGAGAGAGAGAATAGGTGGGGAATAGACAAGAGAAGCCGCTCCATAAAATTAATTTTCATTTTTCACGGTAATATAATACACCACCCCATCTGGTGACTTTCTATGAACAGGGCATTTGTTGAATAAACCTCAAGGAAGACAGTGGTTGAATGGAAGGGTCCACTGTTCAGCACACGAGGAGTTAAAAACAAGTTTATCCAGGAAATTGTAATCCCTCTCTTCCTTTTCTCTCTTCTGAATGGTCTAACCCGCCGGTTCACATGAGTGTGTGTGCATGAGTGTGTATGTTGTCCTTGCCTTATATAGAGGAGTGTTGTGGCTCCAGTAAAGTCTCTCACATTCCCTCTCTCCTCCCTCTTTCTCTCTTAGCCTCTTGCGTAGAAGGACGCAGTAGCTGGTACAGCAGCCTCTCTGCTCTACTTGTCATTTCCTATAGTTATCTCTCTATTTAGGCTTTTTAGCCTACTCCAACTTTCTCTGCGTCGTTGAGCTGCTCAGACCACAATGAACGGGCCAGTGGACGGATTGTATGACGCTGAGCACTATGGGTCATTCATGTTTACCTCTGAGTCTGTGGGAGAAGGACACCCAGGTGAGTAGACAGCTCTAGTAGACAGCATGGTCCCCATGCAACAGAACAAAACCATAGAATGTCATGCACTGCATCATTAGAAAGTGTTTTTTTTTTTTGATCCCACCGCTGACACCAATGGGTTTTATGAATTAGTTGTACTGTGTGTGAATAGTTGCTTATGCCATGCAGGAAGAAGCGTAAGGAGGAGACACGAAGGAGATGATTTACAAAGAGTTTGCACCATGTAAACTGAGAGAAAACAGATTGAGAGAGTACAGAAATTGGTAGTAGAGTTGGATGCCTGCACAATTCAATCAAAACATGCTGCAGAGGTGCTGTAGAGACATACCATTGACAATTTATGGATGCATGTGTTGCTGTTACTCCCCAGTTACTCGAGTAGGATGGGTCAAGCAAATGGCAGGGGAAGGGGGTATCATTTACTTTAACCTCTATTGACATACAGTAGGCCTACTAAACTCCTGACAGTACTTACAGTACAGTACTAATCAGTAGCACATTAACACATGGCTGTAACTGCTACTGTGAATGTGTAATTATGAATATAAATGTTGATATATACTTACCAAAGCGCCCTCTCTCTTTCTTGCTCCCTTAAATATGTGATGTATACTCCAAACCAGTGGAGGCTGCCGAGGGAAGGATGGCTCATAATAATGACTGGAACGGAGAGAATGGAATGGTATCAAACACATAGAAACCACCAACCTCCTGTGCTCCACACATGCTTACACATACACCTGGAGCAGTGCCATGCAACTTAGGCAACATATGCCCTAACACCTGCTTCATGATGACCAAGTACCTTCTCTGCATTTAATGTCACTAGGTCTTCAGAGACAACTTGATCTGCTGATATATTTACATTTACATTTACGTCATTTAGCAGACACTCTTATCCAGAGCGACTTACAAATTGGTGCATTCACCTTATGATAGCCAGTGGGACAACCACTTTACAATTATTATTATTATTATATATATTTTTTTTTATTCTTAATTTTTAGAGTATATTTATAATTTTTTCCAAATCGTTTTTTATTTATATCTATATATATACAGTGGGGGAAAAAAGTATTTAGTCAGCCACCAATTGTGCAAGTTCTCCCACTTAAAAAGATGAGAGAGGCCTGTAATTTTCATCATAGGTACACGTCAACTATGACAGACAAAATGAGATTTTTTTTCTCCAGAAAATCACATTGTAGGATTTTTAATGAATTTATTTGCAAATTATGGTGGAAAATAAGTATTTGGTCAATAACAAAAGTTTCTCAATACTTTGTTATATACCCTTTGTTGGCAATGACACAGGTCAAACGTTTTCTGTAAGTCTTCACAAGGTTTTCACACACTGTTGCTGGTATTTTGGCCCATTCCTCCATGCAGATCTCCTCTAGAGCAGTGATGTTTTGGGGCTGTCGCTGGGCAACACGGACTTTCAACTCCCTCCAAAGATTTTCTATGGGGTTGAGATCTGGAGACTGGCTAGGCCACTCCAGGACCTTGAAATGCTTCTTATGAAGCCACTCCTTCGTTGCCCGGGCGGTGTGTTTGGGATCATTGTCATGCTGAAAGACCCAGCCACGTTTCATCTTCAATGCCCTTGCTGATGGAAGGAGGTTTTCACTCAAAATCTCATGATACATGGCCCCATTCATTCTTTCCTTTACACGGATCAGTCGTCCTGGTCCCTTTGCAGAAAAACAGCCCCAAAGCATGATGTTTCCACCCCCATGCTTCACAGTAGGTATGGTGTTCTTTGGATGCAACTCAGAATTCTTTGTCCTCCAAACACGACGAGTTGAGTTTTTACCAAAAAGTTCTATTTTGGTTTCATCTGACCATATGACATTCTCCCAATCCTCTTCTGGATCATCCAAATGCACTCTAGCAAACTTCAGACAGGCCTGGACATGTACTGGCTTAAGCAGGGGGACACGTCTCGCACTGCAGGATTTGAGTCCCTGGCGGCGTAGTGTGTTACTGATGGTAGGCTTTGTTACTTTGGTCCCAGCTCTCTGCAGGTCATTCACTAGGTCCCCCCGTGTGGTTCTGGGATTTTTGCTCACCGTTCTTGTGATCATTTTGACCCCACAGGGTGAGATCTTGCGTGGAGCCCCAGATCGAGGGAGATTATCAGTGGTCTTGTATTTACATTTACATTTACATTTTAGTCATTTAGCAGACGCTCTTATCCAGAGCGACTTACAGTTAGCGCATACATTATTTTATCGAACGTCTTCTATTTCCTAATAATTGCTCCCACAGTTGATTTCTTCAAACCAAGCTGCTTACCTATTGCAGATTCAGTCTTCCCAGCCTGGTGCACGTCTACAATTTTGTTTCTGGTGTCCTTTGACAGCTCTTTGGTCTTGGCCATAGTGGAGTTTGGAGTATGACTGTTTGAGGTTGTGGACAGGTGTCTTTTATACTGATAACAAGTTCAAACAGGTGCCATTAATACAGGTAACGAGTGGAGGACAGAGGAGCCTCTTAAAGAAGAAGTTACAGGTCTGTGAGAGCCAGAAATCTTGCTTGTTTGTAGGTGACCAAATACTTATTTTCCACCATAATTTGCAAATAAATTCATAAAAAAATCCTACAATGTGATTTTCTGGATTTTTTCCCCTCAATTTGTCTGTCATAGTTGACATGTACCTATGATGAAAATTACAGGCCTCTCTCATCTTTTTAAGTGGGAGAACTTGCACAATTGGTGGCTGACTAAATACTTTTTTCCCCCACTGTATATATATATTTTTTGGTGGGGGTGGGGTAGGGGATTACTTTTATACTATCCCAGGTATTCCTTAAAGAGGTAGGGTTTCAAGTGTCTCCGGAAGATGGTCAGTGACTCCGCTGTTCACATTTACGCCATTTAGCAGACGCTCTTATCCAGAGCGACTTACAGGAGCAATTAGGGTTAAGTGCCTTGCTCAAGGACACATCGACAGATTTTTCACCTAGTCAGCTCGGGGATTAGAACCAGCGACCTTTCGGTTACTGGCACAACGCTCTTAACCACTAAGCTACCTGCCGCCCCGCTACCTACCGCTGTCCTGGTGTCGTGAGGGAGCTTGTTCCACCATTGGGGTGCCAGAGCAGCGAACAGTTTTGACTGGGCTGAGCGGGAACTGTGCTTCCGCAGAGGTAGGGGACCAGCAGGCCAGAGGTGGAAGAACGCAATGCCCTCGTTTGGGTGTAGGGACTGATCAGAGCCTGAAGGTAAGGACGTGCCGTTCCCCTCACAGCTCCGTAGGTAAGCACCATTGTCTTGTAGAAGATGCAAGCTTCAACTGGAAGCCAGTGGAGTGTGCGGAGGAGCGGGGTGACGTGAGAGAACTTGGGAAGGTTGAACACCAGACGGGCTGCAGCGTTCTGGATGAGTTGTAGGGGTTTAATAGCACAGGCAGGGAGCCCAGCCAACAGCGAGTTGCAGTAATCCAGACGGGAGATGACAAGTGCCTGGATTAGGACCTGTGCCGCTTCCTGTGTAAGGTAGGGCCGTACTCTGCGAATGTTGTAGAGCATGAACCTACAGGATCGGGTCACCGCTTTGATGTTAGCGGAGAACGACAGGGTGTTGTCCAGGGTCACGCCAAGGTTCTTTGCACTCTGGGAGGAGGACACAACAGAGTTGTCAACCGTGATGGCGAGATCATGGAGCGGGCAGTCCTTCCCCGGGAGGAAGAGCAGCTCCGTCTTGCCGAGGTTCAGCTTGAGGTGGTGATCTGACATCCACACTGATATGTCTGCCAGACATGCAGAGATGCGATTCGCCACCTGGTTATCAGAAGGGGGAAAGGAGAAGATTAATTGTGTGTCGTCTGCGTAGCAGTGATAGGAGAGGCCATGTGAGGATATGACAGAGCCAAGTGACTTTGTGTATAGAGAGAATAGGAGAGGGCCTAGAACTGAGCCCTGGGGGACACCAGTGGTGAGAGCAGGTGGTGCGGAGACAGATTCTCGCCACACCACCTGGTAGGAGCAACCTGTCAGGTAGGACGCAATCCAAGAGTGAGCCGCGCCGGAGATGCCCAACTCGGAGAGGGTGAAGAGGAGGATCTGATGGTTCACAGTATCAAAGGCAGCAAATAGGTCTAGAAGGATGAGAGCAGAGGAGAGAGTTAGCTTTAGCAGTGCGGAGAGCCTCCGTGACACAGAGAAGAGCAGTCTCAGTTGAATGACCAGTCTTGAAATCTGACTGGTTTGGATCAAGAAGGTCATTCTGAGAGAGATAGCAGGAGAGTTGGCTATAGACAGCACGCTCAAGAGTTTTGGAGAGAAAAGAAAGAAGGGATACTGGTCTGTAGTTGTTGACATCGGAGGGATCGAGTGTAGGTTTTTTAAGGAGGGGTGCAACTCTCGCTTTCTTGAAGATGGAAGGGACATAGCCAGTAGACAAGGATGAGTTGATGAGCGAGGTGAGGTAAGGGAGAAGGTCTCCGGAAATGGTCTGGAGAAAAGAGGAGGGGATAGGGTCAAGCGGGCAGGTTGTTGGGCGGCCAGCCATCACCAGTCGCAAGATTTCATCTGGAGAGAGAGGGGAGAAAGAAGTCAAAGCATAGAGTAGGGCAGTGTGAGCAGGACCAGCGTTGTCATTTGACTTAATAAATGAGGATCGGATGTTGTCAACCTTCTTTTCAAAATGGTTGACGAAGTCATCCACAGAGAGGGAGGAGGGAGGGGGAGGAGGAGGAGGAGGATTCAGCAGGGAGGAGAAAGTGGCAAAGACCTTCCTAGGGTTAGAGGTAGAGGCTTGAAATTTAGAGCGGTAGAAAGTGGCTTTAGAAGCAGAAACGGAGGAAGAGAATGTAGAGAGGAGGGAGTGGAAAGATGACAGGTCCGCAGGGAGTCTAGTTTTCCTCCATTTCCGCTCGGCTGCCCGGAGCACTGTTCTCTGAGCTCACAATGAATCGTCAAGCCACGGAGCAGGATGGGAGGACCGAGCCAGCCGGGAGGATTGGGGACATAGAGAGTCAAAAGATTCAGAGAGGGAGGAGAGGAGGGTTGAGGAGGCAGAATCAGGAGATTGAAGGGAGAAGGATTTAGCAGAGGGAAGAGATGATAGGATGGAAGAGGAGAGAGTAGCGGGAGAGAGAGAGCGAAGATTGCGAAGGCACATTACCATCTGAGTAGGGGCAGAGTGAGTAGTGTTGGAGGAGTGCGAGAGAGAAAAGGATACGAATGTAGTGGTTGGAGACTTGGAGGGGAGTTGCAGTGAGATTAGTAGAAGAACAGCATCTAGTAAAGATGAGGTCAAGCGTATTGCCTGCCTTGTGAGTAGGGGGGGACGGTGTGAGAGTGAGGTCAAAAGAGGAAAGGAGTGGAAAGAAGGCAGAGAGAAATGAGTCAAAGGCAGACGTAGGGAAGTTAAAGTCACCCAGGAAAGGAACTTATCAAGGCGTCAAGCTCATTGATGAACTCTCCAAGGGAACCTGGAGGGCGAAAAATGACAAGGATGTTAAGCTTGAATGGGCTAGTGACTGTGACAGCATGGAATTCAAATGAGGAGATAGACAGATGGGTCAGGGGGAAAAGAGAGAATGTCCACTTGGGAGAGATGAGGATTCCTGTGCCACCGCCGCGCTGACCAGATGCTCTCGGGTTATGCGAGAACACATGATCAGACGAGGAAAGAGCAGTAGGAGTAGCAGTGTTTTTTGGGGTAATCCATGTTTCCGTCAGCGCCAAGAAGTCGAGGGACTGGAGGGTGGCATAGTCTGAGATGAACTCTGCCTTGTTGGCCGCAGAACGGCAGTTCCAGAGACTACCGGAGACCTGGAACTCCACGTGGGTCGTGCACGCAGGGACCACCAGATTAGAGTGGCAGCAGCCATGCCGTGTGAAGCGTTTGTATGGCCTGTGCGGAGAGGAGAGAACAAGGATAGACAGACACATAGTTGACAGGCTACAGAAAAGGCTACAATAATGCAAAGGAGATCGGAATGAAATTAACTAAGCATCTGGGAAAGCGAGAGAGCGGGGCCTCCCTCACGTTTCACTGAAACACTCAAATATAACTCTCCCAACTTCCACTTTAGATTAATAGACTTTAGTTAGTGTCTGGTCTGTTAGCGATGTTACCAAACAGACTAGTTCTGTCTCTTACCTCTAGTTAGCGTCTGGTCTATTAGCGATGTTACCAAACAGACTAGTTCTGTCTCTTACCTCTAGTTAGTGTCTGGTCTGTTAGCGATGTTACCAAACAGACTAGTTCTGTCTCTTACCTCTAGTTAGTGTCTGGTCTATTAGCGATGTTACCAAACAGGCTAGTTCTGTCTCTTACCTCTAGTTAGTGTCTGGTCTATTAGCAATGTTACCAAACAGACTAGTTCTGTCTCTTACCTCTAGTTAGTGTCTGGTCTGTTAGCGATGTTACCAAACAGACTAGTTCTGTCTCTTACCTCTAGTTAGTGTCTGGTCTATTAGCGATGTTACCAAACAGGCTAGTTCTGTCTCTTACCTCTAGTTAGTGTCTGGTCTATTAGCGATGTTACCAAACAGACTAGTTCTGTCTCTTACCTCTAGTTAGTGTCTGGTCTATTAGCGATGTTACCAAACAGACTAGTTCTGACTCTTGCCTCTAGTTAGTGTCTAGTCTATTAGCGATGTTACGAAACAGACTAGTTCTGTCTCTTACCTCTAGTTAGTGTCTGGTCTGTTAGCGATGTTACCAAACAGACTAGTTCTGTCTCATGCCTCTAGTTAGTGTCTGGTCTATTAGCGATGTTACCAAACAGACTAGTTCTGACTCTTACCTCCAGTTAGTGTCTGGTCTGTTAGCGATGTTACCAAACAGACTAGTTCTGTCTCTTGCCTCTAGTTAGTGTCTGGTCTGTTAGCGATGTTACCAAACAGACTAGTTCTGTCTCATGCCTCTAGTTAGTGTCTGGTCTATTAGCGATGTTACCAAACAGACTAGTTCTGACTCTTACCTCCAGTTAGTGTCTGGTCTATTAGCGATGTTACCAAAATATATATATATCAATTACTGTACCACACTTTCCCTCACTAATTATGGTATGCTCTCATGTCGTCTCACGTTAAAAACACTCCATGCATTGCATGGTTAATAAATGTTTTGAATGGTCAGATACATGGTGTGAGGAGGCGTGGCTGTACTGGACATGTTACTGTGTGTAAATGTCACTGTCCAATGTCCAGTGTTAGGGCACACTGAAACGGTGACTGAGTTTATCAGGAAGTGTATAGGTGATGTTGTGCCCACTGTGACTATTAAAACCTACCCTAACCAGAAACCGTGGATAGATGGCAGCATTCGCGCCAATCTGAAAGCGCGAACCACCTCATTCAACCATGGCAAGGTTACATTACATTTTAGTCATTTAGCAGACGCTCTTATCCAGAGCGACTTACAGTTAGTGAGTGCATACATTTTCATACTGGCCCCCCGTGGGAAACGTGGGAAACGAACCCACAACCCTGGCGTTGCAAGCGCCATGCTCTACCAACAGTGTAGCTACTCACTCCGCAAGGCAATTAAACTGGAAAAACATCAGTATAGAGACAAAGTGGAGTCGCAATTCAACGGCTCAGACACGAGACGTATGTGGCAGGGTCTACAGACAATCACAGACTACAAAAGGAAAACCAGCCACGTCGCCGACACCGACGTCTCGCTTCCAGACAAGCTAAACACCTTCTTCGCCTGCTTTGAGGATAACACAGTGCCACTGACGAGGCCCACTACCAAGGCCTCTCCTTCTCTGTGGCCGACGTGATTAAGACATTTAAGCATGTTAATCCCAGCAAGGCTGCCGGCCCAGACGGCATCCCTAGCCGCGTCCTCAGAGCATGCGCAGACCAGCTGGCTGGTGTGTTTATGGACATATTCAATCTCTCCCTTTCCCAGTCTGCTGTTCCCACATGCTTCAAGATGGCCACCATTGTTCCTGTACCCAAGAAAGCAAAGTTAACTGAACTAAATGACTATCGCCCTGTAGCACTCACCTCTGTCATCATGAAGTGCTTTGAGAGACTAGTCAAGGATCATATCACTTCTACCTTACCTGTCACCCTAGACCCACCTCAATTTGCTTACCGCCCCAATAGATCCACAGACGATGCAATCACCATCACACTGCACACTGCCCTATCCCATCTGGACAAGAGGAATACCTATGTAAGAATGCTGTTCATTGACTATCGCTCAGCATTCAACACCATAGTACCCTCCAAGCTCATCATCAAGCTCGAGGCCCTGGGTCTGAACCCCACCCTGTGCAACTGGGTCCTGGACTTCGTGACGGGCCGCCCCCAGGTGGTGAAGGTAGGAAACAACATCTCCACTTTGCTGATCCTCAACAGTGGGCCCCACAAGGGTGCATGCTTAGCCCACTCCTGTACTCCCTGTTCACCCATGACTGCGTGGCCAAGCACACCTCCAACTCAATCATCAAGTTTGCAGACGACACAACAGTAGTAGGCTTGATTACCAACAATGACGAGACCGTCTACAGGGAGGAGGTGAGGGCTCTGGGAGTGTGGTGCCAGGAAAATAACCTCTCACTCAACGTCAACAAAACAAGGGAGATGATCGTGGACTTCAGGAAACAGCAGAGGGTGCACCCCCCTATCCACATCGACGGGACCATAGTGGAGAAGGTGGAAAGCTTCAAGTTCCTTGGCGTACACATCACAGACAAACTGAAATGGTCCACCCACACAGACAGTGTGGTGAAGAAGGCACAACAGAGCCTCTTCAACCTCAGGAGGCTGAATAAATTTGTCTTGGCACCTAAAACCCTCACAAACTTTTACAGATGCACAATTGAGAGCATCCTGTCGGGCTGTATCACCACCTGGTATGGCAACTGCACCGCCCGCAAACGCAGGGCTCTCCAGAGGGTGGTGCGGTCTGCCGAACGCATTATTGGGGGCAAACTACTCGACACATACAGCACCCGATGTCACAGGAAGGCCAAAAAGATCATCAAGGACATCAACCACCTGAGCCACTGCCTGTTCACCCCTCTATCATCCAGAAGGCGAGGTCAGTACAGGTGCATCAAAGCTGGGACCGAGAGAATGAAAAACAGCTTCTATCTCAAGGCCATCAGACTGTTAAATAGCCATCACTAGCACATTAGAGGCTGCTGCTACCTATTGAAATCACTGGCCACTTTAAGAAATGGAACACTAGTCACTTTAATAATGTTTACAGTCACTTTAATAATGTTTACATATCTTGCACTACTCATCTCATATGTACAGTATATACTGCATTCTATTCTATAATATTGTACTGTATCTTAGTCCATGCCGCTCTGTCATTGCTTGTCCATATATGTATATTTTCTTAAATTCCATTCCTTACTAGTTTTGTGTGTATTAGGTATATGTTGTGAAATTGTTAGATATTGCTTGTTAGATATTACTGCACTGTCGGAGCTAGAAGCACAAGCATTTCGCTACACCCGCTATAACATCTGCTAAACACGTGTATGTGACAAATGACATTTGATTTGATTTGATTTGATTGTGTTGATGTGTTGCTTGACCCTTTCCCTCAACGTTCTGAGTCTCACACGCTCTGTTTCTCTCTGTCTACTTTATACTGTGTGTCCTTCATCTCACCTTATCTCACAGCTACAAAACTGTTAGCAGATTACATCTATGCTGAACAACAGTATAAACGCAACATGCAACAATTTCAGTACATCATTACAAAATCAGTCAATTTAAATAAATTCATTAGGCCCTAATCTATGGATTTCACATGACTGGAAATACAGATATGCATCTGTTGGTCACAGATACCTTAAAAAAAAGGTAGGGGCGTGGATCAGATAACCAGTCAGTATCTGGTGTGACTGCCATTTGCCTCATGCAGCGCGACATCTCCTTCAAATAGAGTTGATCAGGCTGTTGATTGTGGCCTGTGGAATGTTATCCCACTCCTCTTCAATGGCTGTGTGAAGTTGCTGGATATTGGCGGGAACTGGACCACGCTGTCGTACACGTCAATCCAGAGCGTCCCAAACATGCTCAATGGGTGACATGTCTGGTGAGTGTGCAGGCCATGGAAGAACTGGGACATTTTCAGCTTCCAGGAATTGTGTACAGATCCTTTCGACATGGGGCAGTGCATTATCATAATGAAACATGAGGTGATGGTGGCGGAGAATTGGCACGACAATGGGCCTCAGGATCTCGTCATGGTATCTCTGTGCATTCAAATTGCCATAGATAAAATGCAATTGTGTTCGTTGTCCGTAGTTTATGCCTGCTCATACCATAACCCCACCGTCATCATGGGGCACTCTGTTCACAACGTTAGCAAACTGCCCACTCACATGACGCCATACACGTGGCCTGCGGTTGTGAGGCCGGTTGGACATACTGACAAATTCTCTAAAACAATGTTGGAGGCGGCTTTTGGTAGAGAAATTAACATTACATTATCTGCTAACAGCTCTGGTGGACATTTCTGCAGTCAGCATGCCAATTGCATGCTCCCTCAAAACTTGAGACATCTGTGGCATTATGTTGTGTGACAAAACTGCACATTTTAGAGTGGCCTTTTATTGTCCCCAGCACAAGGTGCACCTGTGTAATATTCATCCTGTTTAATCAGCTTCTTGATATGCCACACCTGTCAGGTGGATGGATTATCTTAGCAAAGGAGAAATGCTCACTAACAGGGATGTAAACAAATTAGTGCACTGAGAGAAATAAGCTTTTTGTGCGTATGGAAGATTTCTGGGATCTGTTATTTCAGGTCATGAAACATGGGGTTTATATTTCTGTTCAGTGTATAATATAATAATAATATGCCATTTAGCAGACGCTTTTATCCAAAGCGACTTACAGTCATGCGTGCATACATTTTTTTGTGTATGGGTGGTCCCGGGGATCGAACCCACTACCTTGGCGTTACAAGCGCCGTGCTCTACCAGCTGAGCTACAGAGACCAGAAACATAATGGTTACAAACATAACAAGTACAATTTTTATTTATTTAGATTGATGGGTTAAGACTGAACATCTCATATCTCTTTAAATGAAGGCATATCAACATCAATCAAAGAATATAACAAAAATGTGAAATTATCACAGTCCTGATTATGAATATGAAATAGTTTGAACACTCAACCTTCTTGTGAAGTTTACACAATGAGTATCCACATATATGGTGGTGTATATTGACTGCCAGTGTGGAGTAAAGCACGCTACAGAGGTATGCATCAACAGAACTAAAGCTATTCCGAGGGTTGGAACACCTAATATGAGCCAACCAAGAGTAGTACTCTGACGGAAGGGGTGAAATATAATCTAGGTCTTGACTTGGCTTCTGCCATGTGCAGCAAAAGGTCAAACCAGGAAACCACCTCATCAACTTCAGGAGGCCCATTATGGTCAGTTACAGTGCCTTCAGAAAGTATTCATACCCCTTGACTTATTCCACATTTTGTTGTGTTACAGCCGAATTCAAAATTGCTGAAATATATATTTATTCTCACCCATCTACACACAACACCTCATAATGACAAAGTGAAAACATGTTTTTAGATTTTTTTGTAAATTTACTGAAAATCTAATACAGAAATATCTAATTTACATAAGTATTCTCACCCCTGAGTCAATACTTTGTAGAAGCACCTTTGGCGCTGATTACAGCTTTGAATCGTCTTGGGTATGTCTGTATCAGCTTTGCACATCTGGATTTGGGGATTTTCTCCCATTCTTCCTAGCAGATTTTCTCAAGCTCTCTTAAGTTAGATGGGGAGCGACGGTTTTCTCAAGCTCTGTTAAGTTAGATGGGGAGCGATGGTCATAGCAATGTGTTACTGAGGAGTGGCTTCCGTCTGGCCACTCTACCATAAAGGCCTGATTGGAGTACTGCAGAGATGGACAATTCCTTCGACCTCATGGTTTGCTCTGACATGCACTGTCAACTGTGGGACCTTATATTGACAGGTGTGTGCCTTTCCAAATCATGTCCAATCAATTGCAGTTACCACAGGTGGACTCCAATCAAGTTGTAGATCTCAAGGATGATCAATGGAAACAGGATGCACCTGAGCTCAATTTCGAGTCTCATAGCAAAGGGAGTTCTTATGTAAATAAGGTATTTCTGTTTTTTATTTTTAATAAATTAGCAAACATTTCAAGAAACCTGTTTCTGCTTTGTCATTATGGGGTATTGTGTGTAGATTGATGAGGGAAAAAAATAATGTAATCAATTTTAGAATAAGGCTGTAACTTAACAAAATGTGGAAAAAGGGATGGCGTCTGAATACTTTCCGAATGCACTGTAAGTCAAGGGGTATGAATACTTTCTGTACAACACCTAGCAACCTGATCAAGAGTTTTGCACCTCTTGGTGTAACGGTTAAGGTGTTGGACTGACAGTCACAGCGACCCAGGTTTGAGTTCCTGTCAAGCTAACCCCCAGAATATACTACTGGATTTATTAATAATCTACATCCCATTGCATTACCAAACAATTATGCAAACAGAGTCAAGGCTACATTGTTGACATTGACAAATGAATGACATTACAACATTATTTTTCTAGATAAGATATGTGACCAGATCAGTGACGCTGTGCTGGATGCTCACCTGAAGCAGGACCCAGATGCCAAGGTGGCCTGTGGTGAGTGGAGGAGAACATCTCACCACTATATAGCAGCAGAGGACAAACTTCTCAGCCTTTGATCAGGGATGTACATATGTAGAATTTGATCACCCTTTTGCAGGATAACTTTCCTGTAATGCAGAACATTTAAAACTTGTAGTGTATTTTAGGTTTTAAAATGTTTCTGAATTTTGTAATTCCCACTTTGAAATGTCAGACTTGATTTTCCATTATGAAAAATGTATCAACCCCCTACAATCTTTTTTCAATATAATCCACATAATAATTCACATAATTTTCCTGCTGTAGAAAACTGGCTCAAATTAAGATCCTGCACCTGTATCAAGCGTCTCAGAGTAGGAAGAGTGCTGATCTAGGATCACTTTTGCCCTATTTATCACAATGAATATGAGCACGTCTATTTTGAGACTCTTGATACATACAGCCCCAGATGCTGTTGAAGTTCTTCAGTCTTGGCCTGAGCATAGATTATTTACGGAAACGACATACCGTCTTTCTCAACATTTTATACTCTTTTCAGTGAAATGTACACTGAGTGTACAAAACCTTATGAACATGACATAGACTGACCAGGTGAATCCAGGTGAAAGCTATGATCTCTTATTGATGTCACATGTTAAATCCACTTAAATCAGTGTAGATGAAGGGGAGGAGACAGGTTAAAGAAGGATTTTTAAGCCTTGAGACAGTTGAGACATGGATTGTGTATGTGTGCCATTCGGAGGGTGAATGGGCAAGACAAAGGGTTTAAGTGCCTTTGAACGGGGTATGGTAGTAGGTGCCAGGCGCACTGGTTTGTGTCAAGAACTGCAACGCTGCTGGGTTTTTCACGCTCAACAGTTTCCCGTGTGTATCAAGCAGTGGCGGCTGCTGAGGGGAGGACGGCACATAATAATGTCTGGAACGGAACTAATGGAATGGCATCAAACACATGGAAACCATGTGTTTGATGTATTTGATACCATTCCACTTATTCTGCTCCAGACATTACCACGAGCCTGTCCTCCCCAATTAATGTGCCACCAACTTCCTGTGGTATCAAGAATGGTCCACCACCCAAAGGACATCCAGCCAACTTGACACAACTGTGGGAAGCATTGGCGTCAACGTGGGCCAGCATCCCTGCGGAACGCTTTCGACACCTTGTAGAGTCCATGCTGAAACTGTTCTGAGGGCAAAAGGGGGTGCAACTCAATATAAGGAAGGCGTTCCTAATGTTTTGTACACTCAGTGTATGATGATCAGGGATATGGTCAGCATTCTAACCATTGTGTGTTGTGAACAGAGACTGTGTGTAAGACTGGCATGGTGCTGCTCTGTGGGGAGATTACATCTCGGGCCAACGTGGACTACCAGACGATTGTGAGGGATACCATCAGGCAAATCGGCTATGACAACTCAGATAAAGGTATGGTTGGACTTGTATAAATAATTTCCTCTACCCTAGCATATATGACATTGTTTTCCCACTACCCTTTTCTCTTCAGCATGAGTTATCATAGCCCAGCTGTGCACAGCATACGTTTCCCCCCCCCGGCCCGCATGGCAGTTCTAACATGTTTCACTCCTCTGAGGTTTTGACTATAAGACCTGTAACCTGCTGGTGGCTCTGGAGCAGCAGTCCCCTGACATCGCCCAGGGAGTTCACATAGACCGGATGGAGAGTGACATTGGAGCAGGAGACCAGGTGATTAAACAGATCCTTCAACAATTGGGGTTTGAGGTGTCAGGTGTGTGAGATGATGTCATTCCAAACTGCCTGTTCTTGGTTTGCAGGGTCTGATGTTTGGCTATGCCACTGATGAGACCGAGGAGTGCATGCCTCTCACCATCGTCCTCGCCCACAAACTCAATGCCAAGATGGCTGAACTGAGGCGGAACGGCACTGTCCCCTGGCTCCGCCCTGACTCCAAGACACAGGTATGATGATGGAAGATCGATATCGTTACGCTCAGAGATGGGCATTATTTCGGTTCCATGTATTTGAAATATGTATTTCAATAACTTTTGAGTATGTTGTCATTTGTATTACACTGGGCTGAACTACACTCCAATGTATTTTGTAACAAGATACTTTCGAGAGCTGTAATTTGTATTTACAAAATACTTTTCTACACATTTCTTTTTATAGAGGTTCACCATTTTGTGGCCCCCTTTCATCAGAAGTCTGATGGCACTATGGTGTGTGAGAGAGAGAGAGAGAGAGAGAGAGAGAGAGAGAGAGAGAGAGAGAGAGAGAGAGAGAGAGAGAGAGAGAGAGAGAGAGAGAGAGAGCTTTTATCAAAACAGACTTTTCGTACCAGGGTTAGGAGAACTTACGCAGCAGGTTAGGAGAATTAACGTAGCAGGCTAGGAGAATGATGTTAAGCTGTATCCCATCTAGACATGACCCATAAGGCCAATAATAGTACCCAGTGTGCTTTGCAGTTCATTTTGATATGTTCATTTTCACATATACATTTAGGTTATTTAGCAGACACTATTATACAGAGTGACTTACAGTCAGTGCATTCAACTAAGGCGGATAAACATATCACAGTCATAGCAAGTCAAAAGTTTCAGTAACCGTTACTGAGAATGTTGTTGCTGTTCTGGCCGGCTAATTACAAATGTATTTGTGTATTTTAAAATACAAAATACATGTATTTCATTAAATACATTTCAAAATACAAGTATTTTGTAGTTTATTTGATACATTTATCTTTATGGTAATTTTTGACCATCCCTGGTTATGTTCTGACTGAAGAGCCTGGAGCCCATCCTTGTTGTCATTCCATTATACATCAGTTAGATGTTTTTATAAATGGCCATTGCACATGAACCCTCTCAAAGCAACAGGAGCTCCCCTCTTTTGGAGACCCACCGTCCCTTGCTTTCCAATATCCAGTCTTATATAAGAACTTTCTGCCCTTCCACTCATACACACATAGTCCACATTCACGTGAACATCCTCACAAGTCAAGGTGATTGCCTTTAAAGTCGGATGGACTGGAAGCTATTCTGGTTTTTACATTGAACCCAGTCATCGATATTGGTTTACACCGTGACCATGATGACATAGAGAACATGGATTCCAAGGCCTGGACTCTTCCCATGGTCTGTTTTACTCTCCTCCCCCATCTTCCCATGGACAACTCTCATTGGTCTTTAGGGGCCCTTGGGAAAAGCTCCAGCGCTAAAATGATTGGTCCTCTTTGGAATCTGAGAACTCTCTCAAGGTGCTATTTGGAGATCCAGGGGTTCAGTGGCGATGAAAGTGAAGTGTGCCACATTTAATCTTGGCGCAGGTGATCTATCAAATCTAATTTTATTTGTCACATGCTTCGTAAACAACAGGTGTAGACTAACAGTGAAATGCTTACTTACGGGCCCTTCCCAAAAATGTAGACAGAGAGAAAATAGAGAAATAATAGAAACTTTATAATAAAAGTTATAATAAATACACAATGAGTAACAATAACTTGGACTATATACACGAGGTACAAGTACCGAGTCGATATGCAGGGGTATGAGGTAATTGAGGTAGAAACTGTACATATACACTACCAGTCAAAAGTTTGGACATACCTACTCATTCAAGGGTTTTTCTTTATTTTTACAATTTCTTACATTGTAGAATAATAGTGAAGACATCAAAACTATGAAATAACACATATGGAATCATGTAGCACCAAAAAAGTGTTAAACAAATCAAAATATATTTGAGATTCTTCAAATAGCCACCCTTTGCCTTGATGACAGCTTTGCACACTCTTGACATTCTCTCAACCAGCTTCATGAGGTAGTCACCTGGAATGCATTTCAATTAACAGGTGTGCGTTGTTAAAAGTTAATTTGTGAATTTCTTTCCTTCTTAATGCGTTTGAGGTGCAAGGTGGGGGGGGGGGTGTACAGAAGATAGCCCTATTTGGTAAAATACCAAGTCCATATTACGGCAAGAACAGCTCAAATAACCAAAGAAAAACGACAGTCCATCATTACTTTAACACATGAAGGTCAGTCAATACAGAACATTTCAAGAACTTTGAACGTTTCTTCAAGTGCAGTCGCAAAAACCATCAAGCGCTATGATGAAACTGGCTCTCATGAGGACCGCCACAGGAATGGAAGACCCAGAGTTACCTCTGCTGCAGAGGATAAGTTCATTAGAGTTACCAGCCTCAGAAATTGCAGCCCAAATAAATGCTTCAGAGTTCAAGTCACAGACACATCTCAACATCAACTGTTCAGAGAGGACTGTGTGAATCAGGCCTTCATGGTCGAATTGCTGCAAATAAACCATTACTAAAGGACACCAATAAGAAGAAGAGACCTGCTTGAATGGATGATCTCTGCATGTGTAGTTCCCACCGTAAAGCATGGAGGAGGAGGTGTTATGGTGTGGGGGTGATTTGCTGGTGACACTGTCTGTGATTTATTTAGAATTCAAGGCACACCAGCATGACTACCACAGCATTCTGCAGTGATACGCCAGCCCATCTAGTTTGGGCTTAGTGGGACTATCATTTGTTTTTCAACAGGACAATGACCCAACACACCTCCAGGCTGTGTAAGGGCTATTTGACCAAGAAGGAGAGTGATGGAGTGCTGCATCAGATGACCTGGCCTCCACAATCCCCCGACCTCAACCCAATTGAGATGGTTTGGGATGAGTCGGACGGCAGAGCGAAGGAAAAGCAGCCAACAAGTGCTCAGCATTTGTGGAATCTCCTTCAAGACTGTTGGAAAAGCATTCCAGGTGAAGCTAGGTGAGAGAATGCCAAGAGTATGCAAAAATGTCATAAAGGCAAAGGGTGGCTATTTGAAGAATCTCAAATATAAAATATATTTTTATTTGTTTAACACTTTTGTGGTTACTACATGATTCCATGTGTGTTATTTCATAGTTTTGATGTCTTCACTAGTATTCTACAATGTAGAAAATAGTAAAAAATAAAGAAAAACCCTTGAATGAGTAGGTGTGTCCAAACATTTGACTGGTACTGTATATATGGTGGGCACGAAAACCAGATAGAAATTTTTCTAAAATAAAGTTGCCACAAATGATTTAGCTGTTTGAACACCAATTTCCCCAGAATTTTGCTTAAGTATGGAAGGTTGGAGATTTGCCGAAAATTGCTAAGAGCTAAAGAATCTAGATTACTTTTCTTCAGAAGGTGTTTCACCATAGCAGATTTTAGTGCAGTGGGGAATTTGCCTGTGAACAGGGAGTGATTAACAATAGCTTGCACTTCTTCAGATATGCAATTAAAAACAGTTTTGAAGAAGGTGGTGGGGATAGAATCGAGAAGGCAGGTAGAAGGCTTAAGTTGTGATATCACTTTACTGAGCATGTCTGTGTCAACCAGGGAAAATAAATCCATAGTGCCTTTGCATGGTAGGCTAGGGCACATATCATCAAACTTCTCATCAGGTCTTGCTTGACTGATACCCAGCCTAATGTTGGTTGTCTTATCTCTGAAATATGCCGCAAACTCATCACATTTAGGTGTGGAAGAAAGTTCACATAGGTTTGCGAGGGTAGGATTTATCAGGCCATCAATGGTTGAAAAGAGCACTCTCAAATGATTCTGAATAATAGTGATCAAGTTAGAAAAATGAGCCCATCTGGCATTTCTAATTACCTTGTTATATATATATGCCAAGTTGTTCATCAATGGTTGCCCTTACTTTGCTATTAAAGTTATCAACTAAATCATCACAAGAAGAAGGCAGAATAGGTGGTTGAGGATTGTTCATACACTCAATAAAATCTCTAGCAACTTCAGAGGTAAGATAGCATTTCTTAATAATGCGTTCAGTATTACCCTGTGCTATTGGCAACAAGGTAGTAAAAAATACACCGTAGAGATTAGATAAAGCAACATCAACAACAGAGGATATGTCAATAGAAAACCCCTTGGTAATAACCAGGTCCAGAGTATGGCCGCGGTTGTGGGCGGGCCCAGTAACATGTTGGATAAAGTCCATAGAGCTCAAAAGATTCATAAATTCAATGGCCTTGGAGTCAGTTTCTTTGTCAACATGAATATTAAAATCACCCAACACAATGATTTTATCACAGTTCCCAAAGACAATAGACAATAGTTCAGATAAATCAGTAAAGAAAGTGGGGCAGTGCTTTGGTGGTCTATCCAAGGTTCTAAGCATCCGGATCACACCCCTCAACCCATGACACCTTCACAATACACAACACAGCGGTCCTGGAGAACTATAGGGTGTGATGGCTTTTGTTCCAGCCCAACAGTAACACCTGATGTAACTAACCATGGTTCAGAATGAAGATTAGTAATTTGATTAGATATTCTATTAAAAGTGTGTTAGTGCTGGGCTGGAACAAAAGCTGGGTTGGAGAACTCTCCCCTCACTCCCCTTCTCTCCAGGTGACAGTTCACTACACAATGATTTTATCACAGTTCTCAAAGACAATGGACAGTAAAGAAAGTGGGGCAGTGCTTTGGTAGTCTATACAATGTTATGGCCAGCACTGGTGGCTGACATTTAATGACCACAGATGTTAATGGTACGGGGCGATAGTCATTTAGACAGGTTACCTTAGCGTTCTTGGGCACGGGGACTATCGTGATCTGCTTGAAACATGTAGGTATTATAGACTGGGTCAAGGAGAGGTTGAAAATGTCAGTGAAGACACTTGCCAGCTGGTCAGCGCATGCTCTGAGTCCATGTCCTGGTAATCCGCCTGACCCTGCGGCCTTGTGAATGTTAACTTGTTTAAAGTTCTTACTCACTTCGGCTACGGAGAGCGTGATCACACAGTACTCTGGAACATCTGGTGCTCTCATGCATGGTTCAGTGTTGCTTGCTTCGAAGCAAGCATAGAAGGTATTTAGTGGGCAGCTCACAGCTGGGTTTCCCTTTGTAATCCGTGATAGTTTGCAACCCTTGCCACATCCGACGAGCATCCGACGAGCGCAGTAGGATTTGATCTTAGTCCTGTATTGACACTTTGCCTGTGTGATGACTTGTCGGAGGTTGTACAGTGGCTTGCGAAAGTATTCACCCCCCTTGGCATTTTTACTATTTTGTTGCCTTACAACCTGGAATTAAAATGGATTTTTTGATTTACACAACATGCCTACCACTTTGAAGATGCAAAATATTTTTTATTGTGAAACAAACAAGAAATAAAGACAAAAAAACTGAACTTGAGCATGCATAACTATTCATCCCCCCCAAAGTCAATACTTTGTAGAGCCACCTTTTGAAGCAATTACAGCTGCAAGTCTCTTGGGGTATGTCTCTATAAGCTTGGCACATCTAGCCACTGGGATTTTGCCCATTCTTCAAGGCAAAACTGCTCCAGCTCCTTCATGTTGGATGGGTTCCGCTGGTGTACAGCAATCTTTAAGTCATACCACAGATTCTCAATTGGATTGAGGTCTGGGCTTTGACTAGGCCATTCCAAGACATTTAAATGTTTCCCCTTAAACCACTCAAGTGTTGCTTTAGCAGTATGCTTAGGGTCATTGTCCTGCTGGAAGGTGAACCTCCGTCCCAGTCTCAATTCTCTGGAAGACTGAAACAGGTTTCCCTCAAGAATTTCCCTGTATTTAGCGCCATCCATCATTCCTTCAATTCTGACCAGTTTTCCAGTCCCTGCCGATGAAAAACAACCCCACAGCATGATGCTGCCACCACCATGCTTCACTGTGGGGATGGTGTTCTCGGGGGGATGAGAGGTGTTGGGTTTGTGCCAGACATAGCGTTTTCCTTGATGGCCAAAAAGCTCGATTTTAGTCTCATCTGACCAGAGTACCTTCTTCCATATGTTTGGGGAGTCTCCCACATGCCTTTTGGCGAACACCAAATGTGTTTGGTAATTTTTTTCTTTAAGCAATGGCTTTTTTCTGGCCACTCTTCCGTAAAGCCCAACTCTGTGGAGTGTACGGCTTAAAGTGGTCCTATGGACAGATACTCCAATCTCCGCTGTGGAGCTTTCAGGGTTATCCTTGGTCTCTTTGTTGCCTCTCTGATTAATGCCCTCCTTGCCTGGTCCGTGAGTTTTGGTGGGCGGCCCTCTCTTGGCAGGTTTGTTGTGGTGCCATATTCTTTCCATTTTTTAATAATGGATTTAATGGTGCTCCGTGGGATGTTCATAGTTTCTGATATTTTTTTATAACCCAACCCTGATCTGTACTTCTCCACAACTTTGTCCCTGACCAGTTTGGAGAGCTCCTTGCTCTTCATGGTGGCGCTTGCTTGGTAGTGCCCCTTTCTTAGTGGTGTTGCAGACTCAGGGGCCTTTCAGAACAGGTGTGTATATATACTGAGATCATGTGACAGATCATGTGACACTTAGATTGCACACAGGTGGACTTTATTTAACTAATTATGTGACTTCTGAAGGTAATTGGTTGCACCAGATCTTATTTAGGGGCTTCATAGCAAAGGGGGTGAATACATATGCATGCACCACTTTTCCGTTATTTATTTTTTAGCATTTTTTGAAACAAGTTATTTTTTTCATTTCACTTCACCAATTTGTACTATTTTGTGTATGTCCATTACATGAAATCCAAATAAAAATACAGTTAAATTACAGGTTGTAATGCAACAAAATAGGAAAAACTCCAAGGGGGATGAATACTTTTGCAAGACACTGTAGCTGGATTTCTTCTAAGCGTCCGGATCACACCCCTCAACCCATGACACCTTCACAATACACAACACAGGGGTCCTGGAGAACTATAGGGTCTGACGGCTTTTGTTCCAGCCCAACAGTAACACCTGATGCAACTAAGCATGGTTCAGAATGAAGATTAGTAATGTGATTAGATATTCTATTAAAAGTGTGTTAGTACTGGGCTGGAACAAAAGCTGTGTTGGAGAACTCCCCCCTCACTCCCCTTCTCTCCAGGTGACAGTTCACTACACCCAGGAGAACGGGGCGGTGATCCCTCGTAGAGTTCACACAGTGGTCATCTCAGTGCAGCACGACGACTACGTGAGCCTGGAGGAGCAGAAGGAGATCCTGAAGGAGAAGGTCATCAAGGCCGTTGTGCCGGCCAGATACCTGGACGACAACACCATCTATCACCTGCAGCCCAGCGGACGCTTTGTCATTGGCGGGCCCCAGGTAACCATTGTCATTGTCCCATTTGTTCGCTCAACCGGGATTGTCACAAGGTTTTTTACATTTTAGTCATTTAGCAGACGCTCTTATCCAATTTAGGGGTTAGTGCCTTGCTCAAGGGCACATCGGCAAATGTTTCACCTAGTCAGCTCAGGGATTCGAACCAACGACCTTCCTGTTACTGGCCCAACGCTCTCAACCGCTAGGTTACCTGCCACCCCCTCATCTCTTTAAGGCAAGGTGACTGTTCCTCCCTCCACTGAGGAGATCTTCCTGACCTTACTTTATCTACTTCCAGTTCACTTCAAGTTATCAGTAAGAGTTCCTTCCTCTCCAGTAGCTCAGTTACAAAGGATGGCTGAGTCTTTGTAGTGTCTGGGTGGTGATTAATTTGATTGATGACAAGTTCACCATTTCATATGAGTGAGATACAACCTGTAGTCTTTGTCCGCTTTCATACATTCACACATCTCTGTTTATGAAAGGGTGATGCTGGGGTAACCGGTAGGAAGATCATTGTGGACACGTATGGTGGCTGGGGTGCCCACGGTGGCGGGGCCTTCTCTGGTAAGGACTACACCAAGGTGGACCGGTCTGCCGCTTACGCCGCACGCTGGGTCGCCAAGTCCCTGGTCAAGTCCAATCTGTGCAGGAGGGTGCTGGTGCAGGTGAGAGATTCAACCGTATACTTCTTTAACCTTTGGACACTGTTAAACAGACCGAAGTAAACAATGCCAGTCATTTCTATTGGAACTGATGAGTTGATATCCTGTGTGTGTTTGTGATCCAGGTGTCCTATGCCATCGGAGTGGCAGCCCCATTGTCTATTTCCCTGTTCACCTATGGTTCCTCCCAGAAGAGTGAGAAGGAGCTGCTGCATATCGTCAACAAGAACTTTGACCTCCGGCCTGGGGTCATTGTCAGGTGGGACAATATTCTTATCTATTTCATACATAGAGTTTTTCCTGATCACGCAACCAGGCCATGAGAAATTCTGGGCCTTAGTTATAAGCACCAAATAGGACCCAGAGTTTTTCCTGATCAGGTCACATGCTAAGAAAACGTGTGTGTTTGTGTGTATGTAAATATTCCCTGTCGTCAACACTAAGTGGCAGCAATGGGATTTGACTGGAATACCTTGTTGGATATTTGTCCACAGAGACCTGGACTTGAAAAGGCCCATCTACCAGAAGACAGCCTGCTATGGCCACTTTGGCAGGAAGGAGTTTCCCTGGGAGGTGGCCAAGAACCTCAACTTCTAGTGTGTGGAGCAGCAGGAAACGGGCAGCGGTGACATGGGCAGCTTTCTATGTTCTGCTGTTGACCAGTGCACGACAGCCATGCTGGTAGCTGTTAGGGGTGCAGGGGAGGGTGGGCAAGGGTGGAGTAGGGGGGAGTGTACTCTCTCTCGCTCTCTCTTTGGCTGAAAACTGAAAACCCAAACATCTCTGTCATTTGATGAGGGGTGGCTATGACCTCAATGGTCATTAGATATGTGAGATGGCTGTTTAGTATTTTCAAAGTATTTTTAGCATACACTACACACCCCCATACATGTGGCTTGTCTCACAAACATAACTTCCTTTTTGGTGCAGTTTTCGTTTTTTTGTTTGTTTTCAGTAATGCCTAAAATATTAAGATGGATAAAAAAGAAATTGACCAAATCTAAAGGTAGAATAGCCATACTTTACATAGCAGTTCTATATTCTTTAAGGCCCAATGCAGCCGTTTTTTTATCTCAATATCAAAATAATTGGGGTAACAATTAAACACCTTACTGTAGTAATTGTCCATTAAAATGGTCATGGCTTTTTAGCAAATAGCATTTTTGCAAAAAACAACAGCGTGAGTGAGCGACCTAATTGGAGGCGCCTAATGGGAAGGATATGTAACCTGAAAAATAGCTATTATTGGCAGAGAGATTTGGAACTCTCTTTGTTATTGGTCTATTAATTTTACCGCCTGGTGATGTCACCAGGCAAGCCAAAACTCCACCCCCTGCTTTGTGAAACTAATTCAAATCAAGCTGCAAATCTCTTTGAAAGATACACGACTTCTACATGCTTTTTATGTTAGAAAGCTTTTATTGTAGAAAGATTAGCAGAGGCAGGGCTAGCTTTTTCTGAGTGTGAAGGGTTTAGAGTAATGGTTTGTAGCCACATTTAGTTTCAATCTAGAAAAAACTACTGAGAATGTTGTGTCAGTGCTGTTACCTTGTGCCGCTTGCCTCGTCATCTACATAACCATCTCTCTCGCATTACTGTAACTGCTCTAAAACCAGGTGAACTCAGATCCTTCATACAGTTTGTCAATAGATAACACAGGAAAATGTAAATAGGGTTTTGAACAATAAAACATTAAATGTATATGTCTTTTCATTAGTCTCTATAAGAGTTAATTCTCAGAAAATGGTTTTATTCTTTGCTGGTGCATTGCTAATGCTCACCTTAAAGTAATAATCCACTCAAACCCAAAATGTTTTGCATGTCAGAAATCAGGTTTTCAAGATATAGAACTTTCAAAACACTGATTGGTATGATACATGTTGTATTTCTGCCTGCTTGAACAGCAATTGCTCAGATACGCATGAAAACATGAAATGACCCCGGGAATCAATAGAACATAGCTCAGAGATTAACAAAAACAATATAACATTCAAAATGGGTGAATCTTTCCTTTTAAGATACAAAAGCAATTGGAAAATTATGAATTACAAAAACAGGTTCTAGGCGATAAATAGACAGATTTTAGATCAAGTAAAAAATAAGTCTATATTTGCATTAATACATGAAATATTGGACAGCATACATAAAATAACATGTTTGTATTAATATTTCTTATTCTTGTCATCAATTTGGTACAAGGATACACTTTCAAATATGGCAAAGTGATTAATTTCTCTGGTTTGCTTCCCTTAGGACTTTCTTTTCCACTGTAACACATTCTCCTCTGCATCAGATGACACAGCAACAAAACCATTGATCAGGGTGCCCTCTACTGGTTTCAATGCATAACACACATCACCAAATAAAGGTTATCAGACACCTTTCACATAGTCCCTCACAAAATGAAGCAACAAGGGACACTGCACCTGGACAGAACCTCCCTTCACCCTATTTGCCTTTTATTTCATACAATACAACAATTAAACCTCTGATATAAAACAAATATCTCTGAGCACAGAAAACAACAATACCTCTTTTGTTTGACTTTAAGTCTGCTTCCCTTTAAGGTCCTGTTAAAAGGTACTGAACAACAGCTGGTGATGTAACAGATTTTCCTGAGTAGAAACAATGCAATGCAGAGTTCAGTGTCTGAATGGCCAAGCATAATAACACAGGCACTGACCCAGCCATATTCTGCTTAGTCATCAAAGATTTTTCAGGCACTCAGTCAAGACAATGGATCTGATACACGGCAAGCGCACACGTTCTCGTAATCAAGAGTGATTACATAATGATGAAAGGACAGGGAAGGTGTGTGTGTGTGTGTGCGCCTGCCTGTGTTCCTTCCAAATGGCACTTGTAACATAATATGTTTTGCAATCCACCCTGTACTGTCTACTGCAACGTAGTACAAATATGGCAATAACATGATATTAGTCTTTGGTCATTGGTTAGAAAAGCTTTCGGTGCTTTAGCTATGTGCAATACCGAGCAGGTCCATTTGCAGGGTCTGTCGTCCTCATGCCCTTTGGTGGTCTATGATTGGTCAGGCATCCACTCTTCCCACTCCCACCCTGTTTGTGATTGGTCAGTGGGCACAGAAGCCTCCCTTTGATAGGCCTACAGCATGGCTATGCCATCTGGTTGGTAGTGGTGGTTGGGCCCTCCTGCCTCCTCAGCCTTGTGGTCACTGCTGGAGAAGCCCTGGACACCCCCTCCTCTGGCCAGCACCACCAGGGTGTCCCCGGACATGTCCCCAAACTCAAAGGCAAAGGTCCCAAAGAAGAGCATGATGATGATGCAGAAGAGCCACTCAAAGATGGCGGAGGCGTGCTGCAGGGCAAAGCTCTCCTGGATGAAGAAGACACCGCCTGGGAGGGACAGAGGGTTAAGGAGAACAACAGCTTCTATCTAGACAGAGGGAGTACTGAGAGATAGCATGTGGAAACACACAGACACGCACACACACACACACACACACACACACATGCATACTCATATCAACAGCATGTATGCAAAATATGTCTTTATCCAGCAGGGGGCCATGTAACACATAAGTACTTCCTTCATGTCTCTCTGACTGTCTCTCTCTTACAGTGACGACCAGTGTAAAGGATACTGAGGACCAGGGTGATGAAGGCTAGCAGGCTCATCCCCAGTCGAAGGTGGCCCACGTTGTACTCCCTCTGGGTCTTCGCCAGCCGGTAGGTCAGGGCTGACTGCAGACACACAAACAGTATACTGGTGGGAAAAGCCACCCCTGCACCCACGTAGTGAAGCACTTTGGCATAATCCACCTGCAACACAAATACATAAATGTTTATTTATGACACATAGATGGACGCACGTGTACTTCCAACGCACGTACGGACACACGCATAGGTGAGCATGACCCAACAACACTACACTCTTAGAAAAGAGGGTTCCAAAACAGTTCTTCGACTGTCCCTATTGGAGAACCCTTTTTGGTTCCAGGGAGAATCCTTTTGGCTGTAGAACAGGTTCTACATGAAACCCCAAAGGGTTCTACCTGGAATCACAAGGGTTCTACCTGGAACCAAAAAGGGTTATTCAAAGGGTTCTCCTACGCGGAGAGTATAGTCACTGTTAACAGTGTTACTCTATCTGAGATCCTAACACAAAATGACTCGTTTCCAGGAAAAGAGAACAATGGAGGATCAGAATAACACTCTAAAACAGAGGAGCTTCAGTATAACCATACAAAAATAGCAGCAATGAACGGGGTTCACATGATGACAGAAAGGACAAGATCAGTTGGATAACAAAGCAAGTACTCTATCATGTAGGAACTATCTTCCTTTATGTGCAATCAGTGAAAGCATTACCATGTTTATCTCTCAATACCACAAGGATGACGCAAGTGCTGTAGGTTGTTATATTTGAATGCAGCAGGTAATCATTCTTAAAGTCATTACTTAATCTATTGAGTTTCTATATATTGAATGCAGCAACAATCTCAAAACCATTAAAGACTGATGTAATGAGTCTAAATACAAAATATGGAGTGAATCTGATGTATGGTTCATAAGGAGAAGATGATTGCAGATGATTTTGATGATTTTTTTTTCTTGAGCATTAGCGTTACATATGCAAAGAATGAGTTGTTAACAGTTTCTTTGATTTTTTTTTTTATATCAATACCAAATTTAGTGTGGTTCATCTTAGTGACGTCCCTGATAGCGATGACAAGTTTAAAGTTAATAGGCCAATATGGAGTGGATTTACAGTGGTTTAAATGGACACATAAAATCAGTTTTTTTTACGTGTCAATAACTCAGCCATGTGCTACTTGGCATTTACTGGTATAGTGTGGCCATCTTTGAATGCATCAATGTTATTTTCTCAAACTATTTAGTTAAACTATTTAACTATTTAGCGACTATTTAGCGACCCTTGAGCAAGGCACTTAACCCTAATTGCTCCTGTAAGTCGCTCTGGATAAGAGCGTCTGCTAAATGACTAAAATGTAAAAAAATGTAAAATGTAATGTGTCCAAAGACTACATTTGGAGTGAATCTGACTTTTAGTCCATGAGAAGATGTATTATTATTATTTTAAGCATTAGCATTACATAGTCAAAAAAGTGAATTGTTACTAGTTTCCTTATTTTTTAAGATATCAATGTCAAACTTAACATGGTTCATCATGGTAATAACTTTGATGAACCTGTTAGGCCATTGTGGAGTGGATTTACGAAGGATTTAAATGGACACATAAAATCTGAATTCCTGATTTATCAATAACTCAGCCATCTCTTAAACAATCCCTTAGCCTTTCTCAAACTAAGTTAAGAGATGTACCATGGGCTACAAGATGGAGGAAAATCTATCCTGACAGACCTTATGGGTCCTTGAGGCAAATTTGTTCAGCATGAGGAAAAGCACCTACATGCAAAGTTCAAGTCCCTAGGGGTAACTCCTAGCTCCAGTATGAAAAAATGTATGCACTCACTAACTGTAAGTCGCTCTGGATAAGAGCATCTGCTAAATGACTCAAATGTAAAAATGTAACAGATATGAGTGTTTAAGTAAGACTGCTTATAACAGCACCACCTATAGGCCACTTGGTGCCATTATTTTTTGACCAAATTAAAGTTTCTGTGTGCTAAATTAGAAAAAAAGTGACCAATCTATGCTTGTTATTTGACCATGTCAAGGAAAAAAATTAAATAAGAATACAGAGAATAGTAATAGTTTCACTGCTTCATTGTTACCCCTAAAGATCAGGACAAAATACATTGTACAGTATTCCCCTGTATTGACCTATGAGAATCCTCTTTAGTATTATGATTACACAAACACAGTAAGGTCAACTGTATGATAGGCCGAGGTGGTAGAGATGTTCAGACTCCATAATCACAGGGTGGGGAACATGCACCAGGTCTAGAGTTCATGACATTCTAGAGTTCATGAGTTTCCTTTAGCTTGGGAACAGTCTGCCTTCACTAACCACCTGGAAAAAGATCTACAGTAGGGTTGTCCACATTTTTGTGACGTGAGCTACTTTATAGATTCTACAGTAGCCTATGTCCAGTACCAAACAGACTCCTAGCTCCTACTGTATGACATTAAGTGTATCTAATCCTCTCAAATGTGCCTAGGGCAGAAGGAGCTGGGAGTTGTTTCTGAACTGGATAACAGTCACTCTTGTGAAGGGATTCCTGCTATACTTAAACTTCCTGTGTATGTGTATCCCATCCACAAACACTGGGTGATATGTCAAAGTGCTGAAGTAGTTCCTCACATCCACTATGGCTTTAGCCTTGTTTGCACTGGGACAAACAGTGGTGTTCAAACAATTTCAACCCTCATGGGTACGCACAAAACATTAAGAACACCTGCTCTTTCCATGACATAGACTGACCAGGTGCACCCCAAGTGTGGTGAAAAGGTGAGGATTTTACGACCAGATTTTGTGAGAGCTGTTGTTGCTGACCTGTCTCTGCACATGCCCACACAAAAATACTGTCACTTAAAGGTGCAATGCAGCTGTTTTTATCTCAACATCAAATCATTTCTGGGTAACAATGAAGTTCCTTACTGTGATTGTTTTCAATTTAAAAAATAAAATAATATATAGCTTCTTTGCAAAGAGCAATCTTTCAAGCAAGAATTTTGCTATTACTGTCTGGGAGTGGTCTGAGTGGGGAGGAGAAAACTTAAAACTATCTGTTATTGGCGTTGCGGTTTGGAATTCCCTTTCTTATTGGTCTATCAACTAATTTACTGCATGGTGCTGTCAAACAGCTCTTACACTAAAAGGGCATTATCATCATTTTCACAATTTCACAGTATTATTCCAACCTCATATTGTGGGAATATATATAAAATGCGGGAAAATAACGTTTTTGACTGCAAAGGGTCTTTAAATATTCCTGGCTAGGAGCCAAAGTTAACAAACCACTGTACAATACTATAGACTAAACACAGATGCTCATCTCACTCTACCACAATTAGGAGACCGAAGTCTGCTCACATGCTGTAAAAATATCTTTATCACAGTGTGTGTGTGTGTGTGTGTGTGTGTGTGTGTGTGTGTGTGTGTGTGTGTGTGTGTGTGTGTGTGACTGGAGTCACCGCTCTATGAGATTTGTACATCACGAACACTGTCGACCAGTCACTCTCCTATCCATCACATTCAGCACATGTACAACATCTCAGAACCCTGGGAACAGAGTGTGATTGTGATCAAAATAAACTCTCCTATCTAAATCTGCATTCAGAATGTCTGTATTACTTCATGGCTACAAAAGGCAGACATTGTGGCTTAAAAGAAGGTACAGTAGTGTACACTGTCTGGCTATTGGCAAGTAGTTTGAGGAGCAAGAAAACTCCAGAAGACTATGTTCACTGCAATATATGCTTGGTTGCCATAGCCACGTGGGATGGGTCTCATTTTCCAAGGAATGGTCCTCTTCTTCAGGGCACTAGGCAGAATAAGGACAACTCCCTCCTGTCAAAAGAGCCCAAGTCCTGAGATTGACCTCCAGAATCCTACTGAGTACAGGAACACAGCAGCTTGCCAAAACCTCCTATTTGCAAGACCTTACCAGAGGCCTTTCCAGAAGCCTGCCTAAAACTGACAATATCTAAGAATATCAATAGGGATGTGTTTGGAAGTCCTACAAAGAGATGAGTGCCTGTGGGGGAGATTGAGATCAGACACGCTGAAAGACCACACCAGGACAATGTGTTACTGAACGAGACCACACCCTAAGCCAGACTGTGGAGCACCCAGAGTTCACAGAGCTGGAGCTCCAGGCAGTAGGGACGATACCAATGATGTATACAAACCCTGGTTTACTGATGCTATGCATTGGCCAATGAGAGGCATTGAAGCCACTGGTCAGCCATATTGGCTCTCCCCAGAAGAAGCAGTCCTCTATTCATGGATTGCATGTTGTGTCACAATATTTTTTTGAAGGTTTGTTTTAGGACTGATGCCCAACTGAGCATTCTACTTAATGCATCCTCATTGGGGGCTGATGAAGATTTAGTCTAAAGTGTATTACTGTGGCTTGAGAACACTATGACATTTCTAGAAAAGGCAAATAATTAGTAGGGAAAACTTTTGTCATCATTTTGATGTCGCCAGATTGACTTTAGATGCAGTATAACGTTAGCTAGCTGCTAAGATTGAGGGGAGACCTCCAGATTTTAGCTAGCTAACATTAGCATTGCTAGCTATTTTGAATTAACTTTGCCAGCTAATGACAACATTGCCATGTCTAAATAGAATTTGACAACATGATGATGATGGCAAAGTTGTTTCCTACTAACTATGTGCCTACTTTAGCAATGTCATCTTATTCCCAAGCCCCTATAGTGTAATTTAAATGACAAATGCCCACCTCAGAGTTACTAGGCCACATCTGAGGGAACTCCACCTTACTGGGAACATCAAACACCTTGCACGGCTTCAAAGTCATTGTGATTTACAATGCCCGGATGTAGTGAAAATCCCACAGGCTAAAGACAGTGAACAGTTATTTTAAATGTATGTAATACTGTAGTAAAATCTTATGCAATCATACAAACAATGGACATACTGTCTTAGTTAAGAAATGTGGAGTTGCATCTTGTTACTATCGACCACACCAGTAGCCTACACAGCCTATACAGTGGTCAAACCTGAACACAGGCCTCTAACAGTTGAGCACATTCCACCTTCCTCAAACACTTCACAAGAGCCATTTAGTGAGAGAGATGCTCCACTGTGGGACTGACGTCAGTTCTGTTCTTACCTGGAAGTTGCCCACCATAATGAGTCCTGCAGCACAGATCCAGCAAGTGGACAGGCCGGCCGTATTAAGGACACAGTTCTGGTGCTTCTCTATGACGTGGGCATACCGCAGCAGCCCTATCAACATCACTGGGGGAGGGAGGAGAAACAAAACAAACATTTACATTTTCACCTATCTATCAAGCAGAGAGAACCACTCATCTGGTGACGGTTCACTAACAAATCTGCTAGAGCATGGAAGCGACAACAAACAACACTCTACATGTACCTCTTGCAGAGTAGGGAGTAGTACACTCTTGGACGTTGAGTTGCAAGATGGAAAAGCAGATAGAATGTGCACAACACTAGGCCAAGATGTGCCGTCTCTGCTGAGTTGTTAAGAACTGGAAATCACATTGTGTGCAGATTCCTAATGGCTCTGTACCAAACTGGCCAGTAAAGGCTTCGCTGCAGCCGTACAACACTTTCAAGAGCAGCAAACTGTTTTCGCAAAAATCCATTGGATGGAAATAGGTAGCGTTCACATCTGGTGTCCATCTCACCACTAAGCGAGTGTTTAGACGTCTGTCTTTAATACAGTGATAATAAAGCGGATAATGCGTTAAAAATCCCTATTTGCAAGTGATTCTTTGGGAAATTCACTAGTTAGGACACAGTGAGGGATCTACTTTGTGGCCGGGGTTTCAGACGTTACCGTTCTTCTCATTGCAACGCCACACCATGTGTCAGAGTTAAGTAAACGCTCTCACAGTGTGTGTGCTCAAACAAAAACAAACCATCCCTTTGTGGCTTTTGGTGGTGTGCTTTGTTCATGTGTTTGAGTACGTGATCGCTAGCACTTTGTGTTGCATTCAACCCCCCAGCAGTGCCTCTAACCGCTACTCGACATAAGAGAGCCCTGTTCAAACAAACTGAACCGTGGGGGGTATTAAATGAACTGTTTGATAAGAATGTAATAATCACTTCAAAACCAGCCCATTCTAACTTTGTTCTAACTTCCAACTGGGAATGGGAGAAACGCGTTTTGTATGGATCTACAGTACAAATGATGGGGGGGCTTAGACTTATGTTTGTGGAACAGAGACCTGGTTAGTCACAGCTTTAAAAACATCGACCTGGAGCTTTTGGTATTTTTGTTATTTTATTAGGATCCCCATTAGCTGTTGCAAAAGCAGCAGCTACTCTTCCTGGGGTCCACACAAAACATGAAACATGACATAATACAGAACATTAATAGACAAGAACAGCTCAAGGACAGAACTACATCAATTTGTTTTAAAAAGGCACACATAGCCTACATATCAATACATACACACAAACTATCTAGCTTTAACGACTACATTTAGGGATTCCCATTGAGGCAAACTCTTTTACTTTTACAATGAAAGTATAAGAGGATGACAGAACTACAGACATCTCTGACAGTTACGTACAGCGTACTGGGTATGCATATGAGTGAGTGGATTGCTAACAGAGAAGTAGTCATCGATCTGCATCGTAATCCAAACTCTAACAATTTGCCGCCGCCCTACAAATCATTTTAGCTGGCCTCAGAGCAGTCAGTGCATTAACAATGATGACACTGCAAGCTGATAATGGACCTATGATGCATCATTGTTCCTATTCAAAATAAACATGAGTTTTACTGGTACATACCCAGGAAGGATCCGGTACTGCAGATGAGGCTGAAGAAGCAACTCTCAGGGGGCAGGGTGCCACACTTACTGCAATGAAAACAGAGGGAGGGAGGGATCAGTTAGTGTCTGAACTCTGTGGTACTGAAATAGACCCGGCCATGTTTCCCCTGGCAGAGACAACAGACCGCCTCATGTAGATGGGAAACATGGTGAGCAGATTCTTTGGAAGCCAAGCTCGACCACACAGCTGGGAATATTGGCTGCATTTCAGTATTCTCAACTGATTCCTCCCTCCCTCTGTTTTCATTGCAGTAAGTGTGGCTCCCTTCCATCTTATATAGCGCAGGTGAACAGCAAACCTAGTTTCAAAAAAACAAATAAAGCAACACATCACGGCACAACGCCTCTCCCCCATGTGACCTACTTGTTGTGTGTATGTACTGACATGTACATGTAACTGATAGATACACACACACTACATGTTAATGTTTTTAAATGTATGTAAATTGTAAATTATTTTGTCTGTAATGTCTTTTTCGTTATGTGTCGGACACCAGTAAGACTAGCTGTTGCCATTGGCGTTGGCGAATGGGGAGCCTAATAAATAAAATAAAATCAAACTCTCAAGAGGCTTCCTTTCCATCTCTTCTTTCCGTAGTTTGCACTCATATGTAAAAGTCCCCGTAGGTCTCCACCGCATTTCATTCACCTATCCTGTGTTTTCAGATCAGTGCAGATGAGGGGAAGGAGACTTGAAGAGGTTATTGAGGAAAACATCCATGGATCAAGGAGCATGTGTAGATCATTGAGAGAATCCAAACATGGGGAAAACCCTATCTCACTTAGAAAAACTTTTCACAGCACAAAACAGTGACCAGTGCACGGAATCCCAGTCACCCACCCACAGACTAAAGCCTCCGTAAAAGGTCACCCATACAAAGTGACTAGTCGACATCGAGCATAACACTTCTTGTTGACATTTTTCAAGTCAGCATTGTGACGCTTCAAAGGTTCACAGAGGATCCACTAAACAAAACAAAATGTTTCACTTCCTGCCAGAGAGCAGAGGATTTCTGTGCCAGGCCAGCAAGTGTGGGCATATCTCGCTCTCTCACACACACACACACACACACACACACACACACACACACACACCACAGCCAAGGACAAGCTGTGTTTGTGTAGACATATTCCTGTTATTCTGTACCTGAAGGGGGTGAAAACTTAGCCTAACTGACGAGACCCACGTGACTCACGGAGCAGGGAGAGCTGTGACCACACTGGTCTGGAAAGGAGGCCATTTGTTAATGCAATATTCGCTCAGAAATTGTGCGACAGGTTAGATTGGCTTTCTCAAATGTTTTTTTTCCTCGGGAGTTTAGACCTCTCGTTTGGATTTGAAAATCCAACAGTTGTAATGGAAGGGGGCGGCGCTCAGGGGCTGTGTTTTGCTGTGGGTGTTTGAGTGAGAAAGACACAGAGGAGAACCAACCAGTAAAAGCACAGCCCCCTTCATTATCGACGCATTGTGCAAACAATATCAAAGAGCCATCCCAGACTCTGAAGTCAGGAGAGTTAGGTGTTAGCCAGACTAGTGAAACCCAGGCTACTTAAGAAGGAAAAGAGAGAGCTGAAAAAATGAAAGACAAAAAAAGACAATAGGAGATCTTTAATGATAGCAACCACAGGCCATGAAGACCTTGCTCTCCTTTCTGCCTGTTATGTATATTCACTTCATGTACACCATGTGCTTTCTTTCTGTAATGGTAAATGGCAGAGGCATTGATAATTTATTTAACACAATGGATGACCTCGACCTCAACCAAACAACATGCAGCTCAACTCACAGGGCAAGTTGTATATAGTGTAGCATACAGTTGAAGTTGGAAGTTTACATACACCTTAGCCAAATACATTTAAACTCAGTTTTTCACAATTCCTGACATTTAATCCTAGTAACAATTCCCTGTTTTAGGTCAGTTAGGATCACCACTTTATTTTAAGAATGTGAAATGTCAGAATAATAGTAGAGAGAATGATTTATTTCAGCTTATATTTCTTTCATCACATTCCCAGTGGGTCAAAAGTTTACATACACTCAATTAGTATTTGGTAGCATTGCCTTTAAATTGTTTAACTTCGGTCAAACGTTTCGGGTAGCCTTCCACAAGCTTCCCACAATAAGTTGGGTACATTTTGGCCCATTCCTCCTGACAGAGCTGGTGTAACTGAGTCAGGTTTGTAGGCCTCCTTGCTCACACACGCTTTTTCAGTTCTGCCCACAAATGTTCTATAGGATTGAGGTCAGGGATTTGTAATGGCCACTCCAATACCTTGACTTTGTTGTCCTTAAGCCATTTTGCCACAACTTTGGAAGTATGCTTGGGGTCATTGTCCATTTGGAAGACCCATTTGCGACCAAGCTTTAACTTCCTGACTGATGTCATGAGATGTTGCTTCAATATATCCACATAATTTTCCTTCCTCGTGATGCCATCTATTTTGTGAAGTGCACCAGTCCCTCCTGCAGCAAAGCACCCCCACAGCATGATGGTGCCACCCCCGTGCTTCACGGTTGGGATGGTGTTCTTCGGCTTGCAAGCCACCCCCTTTTTCTCCAAACATAACAATGGTCATTATGGCCAAACAGTTCTATTTTTGTTTCATCAGACCAGAGGACATTTCTCCAAAAAGTACAATCTTTGTCCCCATGTGCAGTTGCAAACTGTAGTCTGGCTTTTTTATGGCGGTTTTGGAGCAGTGGCTTCTTCCTTGCTGAGCAGCCTTTCAGGTTATGTCAATATAGGACTCGGTTTACTGTGGATATAGATACTTTTGTACCTGTTTCCTCCAGCATCTTCACAAGGTCCTTTGCTGTTGTTCTGGGATTGATTTGCACTTTTCGCACCAAAGTACGTTCATCTCTAGGAGACAGAACGCGTCTCCTTCCTGAGTGGTATGACGGCTGCGTGGTCCCATGGTGTTTATACTTGCGTACTATTATTTGTACAGATGAACATGATACCTTCAGGCGTTTGGAAATTGCTCCCAAGGATGAACGAGACTTGTGGAGGTCTACAATTTTTGGCTGATTTCTTTTGATTTTCCCATGATGTCAAGCAAAGAGGCACTGAGTTTGAAGGTAGGCCTTGAAATAAATCCACAGGTACACCTCCAACTGACTCAAATTATGTCAATTAGTCTATCAGAAGCTTCTAAAGCCATGACATCATTTCTGGAATTTTCCAAGCTGTTTAAAGGCACAGTCAACTTAGTGTATGTAAACTTCTGACCCACTGGAATTGTGATACAGTGAATTATAAGTGAAATAATCTGTCTGTAAACAATTGTTGGAAAAATTACTTGTGTCATGCACAAAGTAGATGTCCTAACCGACTTGCCAAAACTATAGTTTGTTAACAAGACATTTGTGGAGTGGTTGAAAAACAAGTTTTAATGACTCCAACCTAAGTGTATGTAAACTTCCGATTTCAACTGTAGTTGTTTACTGGTATGGTGTACATATGCACTGTTGGCTACTGTTAGTGTGCAGAGGTAAATATGAATGAAACAGTAAAGTACAGCATGGTACAGACAGTGTAATACAGTACTGACCTGATGAGTGGGACATTGTCCAGGGTACAGCACAGCACAGGACCCCTCTGTAGAGACAGCTTTTCCTCACACGACTGATTATACAGCCTGGATGAAAACACACAACATAGACCTTTACTTTACAATTTTGCTATCAAATTGTACACACTTTACCTACTGGGCAAAAACTGGTTGAATCAACGTTGTTTCCATGTCATTTCAACAAAATAATTCAATTTGATGACGTTGCAAACTGATTGGATTTGCAAAAAGTCATCAACGTAAGGGAATTTTTTCTTTTTTTCACCCAACTTTTACCTAAATCCAATGACATGGTGATTTTTTGTTGTTGATTTCACGTTGAATTCACGTTAGTTGACAACTCAACCAAATTTTTATCAAAACTAGATGTTGAACTGACATCTGTGCCCAGTGGATAACTTTTCGGATGGAATTGTATATTAAGGCATATTTGCAGATGGAATTATTGTATAATGCACCTAAGACAGGTGGCTATCCTGAATGGACTGTGTGAACTTTGTGAGGTGAGATGAGTTCATAAAGTCACCTATTAGTAATGCTTCGACACACGCAAAGTCTTGATCAGAATGCGTCCCCACCGAACACACACCACTACTAAAGTAAACACATCTCGCAAAACACTCTGGTAATGTCTCAGCATCAAACCACACAACCGATCCACACATCAGGGCTATTATTATGCCCAAATGATGCCACAACTTTAACTCAAAATAGTTAGGCCTATAGGTTAAAGTTCCCACTTAATAATAATAAGCCATTTAGCAGACGCTTTTATCCAAAGCAACTTACAGTCACGCATGCATACATTTTTGTGTATGGGTGGTCCCGGGGATTGAACCCACTACCTTGGCGTTACAAGCGCCGTGCTCTACCAGCTGAGCTACAGAGGACCACACACTTGATGGTTGATTGCATGTGTTGATGGGTGCTTTGCAGAACATTGACACAGGTACTGAGGCAGGTACTGTTGTATTGCATGTGTCTGTCTACAGATCAGAGAGTCCACTTTATCTTGTATGATAAAAAAAAAAAAAAAAGTGATTATTTGTGCACTTGTTTGGCATTTTACTGCATTGTTAAGAACTAGTAACTTAAGCATTTCACTGCACCCGCTATAACATCCGCTAAACTGTGTACGCGACCAATAAACTCTGCATTGCTTGCTGTTTGGGGTTTCAAATCAAATCAATTTTTATTTGCCACATGCGCCGAATACAACCTTACAGTGAAATGCTTACTTACAAGCCCTTTAACCAACAATGCAGTTTTAAGAAAATTTTAAAAAAGTGTTAAGTATAAAATAGGTAAGTAAAAAATAAAAATAGCAATGCAAATAGTTCGGGTAGCCATGATTAGCTGTTCAGAATTCTTATGGCTTGGGGGTAGAAGCTGTTAAGAAGCCTTTTGGACCTAGACTTGGCGCTCCGCTACTGCTTGCCGTGCCGTAGCAGAGTGAACAGTCTATGACTAGGGTGGCTGGAGTCTTTGACAATTTTTAGGGCCTTCCTCTGACACCGCCTGGTATAGAGGTCCTGGATGGCAGGAAGCTTGGCCCCAGTGATGTACTGGGCCGTACGCACTACCCTCTGTAGTGCCTTGCAGTCGGCGGCTGAGCAGTTGCCATACCAGGCAGTGATGCAACCAGTCAGGATGCTCTCGATGGTGCAGCTGTAGAACTTTTTGAGGATCTGAGGATCCATGCCATTTTAGGCTGGGTTTCTGTATAGCACTTTGTGACATCTGCTGATGTAAAAAGGGCTTTATAAATACAATTTGATTTATTGATTGATTTGAATTCCCTGTTTAAGGAGTGTCAGTACAGTCAAACCTGCAGGTACAGTAATGAATGGGTTTGGAATAGTTGTTTGTTTTTGCTTGGGCAGGTCTGCTGCTTGTGGGAAAAGCTTGGAACTAATGTAGCACCCAGGCATTTTTAATCCCTGTTGATGTAGGCTGAGAAAATATGGACTATTCCCTCTTCTGAAAAGAGTCGGCCATAAATTAACACATTTCTCCCGAATGAATGTTGAATAAACAGACTTGTTGAGAAGGTACAGTTTCTCTCGCCCTTTTGCAGTTCATATTATCACTCTAGCTCACAGTGTGGAGATGAATAACCGTTCATAATCAGTTTTCTGGTTTGACATTTAAAGCATGGACGTCAGCAGGAATTTTGGGGTTTTGACAAAGATTATAGAATCACTGAAATTGCTTCTGATTTTCTTGAGTGGAAGTCTACAACTGTGTCTGGCATTTTCTAGGTAAAAGCAATGTGAGGCCAAAATAACAAAATGGTCCCCTGGGTCCCCATGGGCAGACTTAAAACCGTTCTACCTTCCTTTTATCATCACAACTCCTGTGCCACTAGGGGCGCTAAAACTGTAGTTTACTTTTATTCTACACACAGAAACACATTCAAGGCCCTCCCTCGTCCTCCCTTTGGCAAATCTAACAACGACACTATACTCCTGCTTCCGATGAAGCAGATGCGAGGCTACAAGACTGTTTCGCTAATAAAATATGTTCCGGGATTCATCCGATAACATTGAGGAGTTTATCACATCAGTCACGGGCTTCATCGAACGTATCCAAACCAAAAACCATGGATTACAGGCAATATCCATGCTGGGCAATATCCACGCTCTGTTTACAAGGAACGGGACACGGACATGGATACATACAAGTAAGCCAGCTACGACCTCCGACGAGACTTCAGACATGCAAAAGGACAATATAGGAGAAAGGTGGAATCCTATTACACCGGCTCCAACGCTCGTCTTATGTTGCAGGGCTTGCAGACGATAATGGATTACAAAGGGAAACCCAGACGTGAGATGCCCAGTGATGAAAAACTCCCCAACGAGCTAAATGCCTTTTATGCCCAATTCAAGGAATACAACACTGAGTCTTGCGTGAAAGCCCCTGTTGGTCCGGATGACTGTGTGTTCTCGCTCTCCATGGCCGATGTGAGTAAAACGTTTAAACAGGTTCACACTCGCAAGGACGCTGGGCCAGATGGAATACCAGGGCGCATTCTCAAAGCATGCACAGATCAACTGGCAAGTGTCTAGACTCAAATGTATCTCCTTGTCCCCGTCTGTAATCCCAACATGTTTCAAGCTCACCACCATTGTCCCTGTTCCCAAGAACTCCAAGCTAACCTGCCTAAATGACTATCGCCCTGTAGCACTCACATCTGTAATTATGAAGTGCTTTGAAAGGCTGGTCATGACACACATAAATACCATCATCCCAGACACCCTGGAACCACTCCAATTCGCATACCGCGCCAACAGGTCCACAGATGATGAAATCTCAATTGCACTTTACACTGCTCTCTCCCGCCTGGACAAGAGGGGAAATAACTATGTGAGAATGCTGTTCATAGACTACAGCTCAGCGTTCAACACTATAGTTTGCAAGCCCTGCCGGTGTAGTAGGATTCGATCTTAGTCCTGTATTGACTCTTTGCCTGTTTGGTAGTTCGTCGTAGGGCGTAGCAGGATTTCTTATAAGTGTCCGGATTAGTGTCCCGCTCCTTGAAAGCAGCAGCTCTAGCCTTTAGCTCAGTGCGGATGTTGCCTATAATCCATGGCTTCTGGTTGGGATATGTACTTACGTTCACTGTGGGGACGATGTCGTCGATGCACTTATTAATGAAGCCGGTGACTGATGGAGTATACTCCTCAATGCCATTGGAGGAATCCCGCAACATATTCCAGTCTGTGCTAGCGAAACAGTCCTGTAGCTTAGCATCCGCTCTCCCTTCCTTATTGAGCGCGTCATTGGTACTTCCTGTTTGAGTTTTCGCTTGTAAGCAGGAATCAGGAGGATAGAGTTATTGTCAGATTTGCCAAATGGAGGGTAAAAACGGATTTAAGTTTTCCTGCATTAAAGTCCCCGGCCACTGGATGAGCATCTTCTTGTTTGCTTATGGCCTTATACAGCTCGTTGAGTGTGGTCTTAGTGCCAGCATCGGGTTGTGGTGGTAAATAGACAGCTACGAAGAATATAGATGAAAACTCTCTTGGTAAAAAGTATGGTCTATAGCTTATCATGAGGTACACTAACTTAGGCGAGCAAAATCTTAATATTAAAGATCGCGCACCAGGTGTTGTTGACAAAGAGACACACATCACCCCCCCTGATCTTACCGGAGGCTGCTGTTCTGTCTTGCCGAAGGCACGGAAACCCAGCTAACTGTATATTATCTATGTCCTTGTTCAGCCACGACTCGGTGAAACATAGGATATTTGTCACGAATTCAGCCGAGGCTGCCCCTCCTCCTTGCTCGGGCAGGCTTCGGCGTTCGTCGTCACCGGAGTACTAGCTGCCACCGATCTATGTTTCTGTGTTCCACTTGTTTTGTCTTGATTGCACACACCTGATTCCCATCACGTTAATTTCTTTCCCTATTTTACCCTCTGGTTTCCTCATGGTGTTGTGCGTGATTGTTCGTTGTTTCTGCTCCAGGTAGAGCTTTACCTGGCAACCATCCACCCGGCTCCCTCGGGATACGAGAGCGTGTCCGCCCTCATCTCCTGTCTGTCGGGGAAAGCGCTCGAGTGGGCCGACACTGAGTGGGGAGGTATAGACGCAGCATCGGTGCGCTATGAGGATTTCACCCGCCGCTTCCGGGCGGTATTTGATCATCCACCAGAGGGGAGAGCGGCGGGGGAACGGTTGTTCCACCTCAGACAGGGGAGGAGGAGCGCACAGGACTTCGCACTGGATTTCAGGACCTTGGCAGCCAGCGCGGGATGGAATGAGAGGGCCCTGATCGACCATTAGAGATTCAGCCTACGGGAGGACGTTCGTCGAGAGCTGGCCTGCAGGGACACCACCCTTAACCTGGACCAGCTGGTGGACTTATCTATACGGCTGGATAACCTGTTGGCCACCCGCGGACGTTCAGATCAGGGTCCGTCCAGTCCATCTCCCAGCACTTCCGACCCTACACCAATGGAGCTCGGAGGTGCTGATTTAAGGGTTAACGGAAGGGGGGCTGTTTCCTGCACCAACTGTGGCCGCAGAGGACACACTGCTGGTCGGG